TTTTACACAAACTGACCACAAACAGACAAACCCATTGCAGTATTTTTGCTTTTGCTTTGAAGTGCTATATTTAGAAAATGGCAATTGTTTTCTTCTGAGAGTTAGAACTACAAAGCATTTGGTTGTTAAATTTAAAATCATTTGATGCAGTCTGCCAAGAGAGTGAGTAACATGCAACACACAGTGTGCAAACTTCACTTGTCTTTCCTGGCATTGATGGAGAATTGTGATTCTTAAGTCTGCCAAGTATATACAGACTTTACTTTCCAAACAGAAAATGACTAAAAGCTTTTGGATACTTTAATTCTCTTGTGGTTGATTACAACAATATTAAAAATTGATTGGGAAAGCCTGTTAAGCAAACGATCCATTTTTCAATCATTTTTTGGCCAAAGATTCATTGTTAAGATCATCTTATCATGGCATTTTTTGGTGCCCATCAGTCAATAGCAAATGAAATTGTCAAAGAATGTGGTCTTTGACAGAATGTCTGTCAGACATCAAGTCCTGGGTGAGAGCTAACTTTCTTCAGTTGAACGTCAACAAGACTGAGGCCCTCCTGATTGGCTCTGCATTCCCCCACCTCCGCAATATCGACCGGCTCCACCACTGTCTCACACCGCAGGTCGCTGAAATCCTCATACGTAACATTGAGGCTTGACTCTGGAACTCCCTGCTTGTCGGCCTTCCCAATTCCTCCCTCCGTAGGCTGCAGATCATCCAGAACTCTGCAGCCCGTGTCCTCTCCCGCACCAGGGGATTTTAGCTTGGATTCTATTCAGGCACTCACTCCCAAAACCAATTTGGCACCTTTTGCTGTGAAATTCCCTCTGGGTACCAGGCTCAGATTGTCCTTTAGGGCATTTTTCATTGAGAAAGATCATCAGCACCTTTGTTTTGTCTGAATTCACTTTATTTTAATTTCTCCAGGCTTTCCATTGTAAAGTAGTTGCCTGCTCTGTCCTCATTTTAAAGTGTAAGTGCTGACCATGTAATTGAGCAGTTCTGATTCAGTTCTGGCATCCTTTTTAATGCTTCCAGTTCTGTACAGTGCACACTTGGCAGTGTTAGCCTTGACTGTAATACAGTAAATTGGAATCAGCCCAGTTACGTTGTTGCACATGATTATTGCAGCTTGAATTTCACTAACCAAGGCACCGAGCATAAAATGTGCAAATTTTGGATTGTACAAAATTTGTGGTGAAAGCAACCTGATGGACTCAAAACTGGAAGATTGTACTCTTGGTTAGAAGTCGCATTTCATTTGCCCATTTCCCCATTAGTGGCATTGTTGAAGAAAATAATAATCCTTACATTTGATATAGCGCTTTTTACGTCTTCTAACTTCTCAAAGCGCTGCACAGAATATGCTGTAAAGTGAATTGACCATATATTTGTGGGCGAAAAGAAGGGAGTCCGAAAAAAGTTGACCAAACACTTTCATGAATACAGTGCTCTCTAAGAGCATTTTGTTGAGTGCATTTTGTTGAGTGTTTTGAGAGCCAATAAGCCTCCATAAACCAGTCATCAAACCAATGTCAGTGTCATTGTGATGACACGCGGGTGGGTGTGTATTGCTCAATTTATCTGTTGGTTTGTATCTGATCCTGTTGATGGCCTATCTTGGTGAATTAAGGACCTTTTCCTTTTGAGTTGTGTTGTTCTACTATGTTTAAATGAAATCAATAGTTTTTTCAAAGGCTGCAGATGGTGAAGGAAAGATTTTTTTAAAAGGTGCTATATAAATGTAAATTGTACTGTATTGTAATTTGCAACTTGCCTCCATCCCTATTCAACGATTGTTGGGGTCTATATGATTCCATGTGACCACAGCGCACAAATGAGAAACCCAATAATATAATTTAAATTAATTCCCTCCTTCGGAAGCTGAAGATGGTACAATCTTATACTTTTTTTTACCCATTCAGATAAACTTTGATAGAATAAAACTTGCATAAGTCTTATCTTTATAAATCATATAATCGCCTAAGTCGTACATTTACCCGAGTCTCGTTCAGTTTCCTATCAAAACCACTTAGATTTCTTTACAATACTCATATCTCATAATAATAATCCTTGCATTTGATACAGCACTTCATCATGTCTTTGAGACATCTCAAATCGCTTCATAGAATATACTATAAAGTGAATTGACTGTATATTTTGTGGGTGTATTAATTACCTAACTCGTACCGCCTCGCCCTTATCCTCCAGCATTCCCGCACGGCTGCATTGATTAACAGGAAATTACATCCTGACCCGCTGACACCTGTAAACCTACCAGCCGGCTGCATTGAATCGCTGGAAACATACAACATCAACAAGGTTACATTTGTATAGCGCCTTTCAGGTCGGGAGGACATCCTAAGGCGCTGGATAGTGTACAGCATTTCAGATCCGAGCTGGGGTCAGGGAGGGGGAGAAGGGAGGGGAAGGGGGGTGGCCGATGGCATGGTCGAAGAAGAGGGTCTTGAGGCGGGACCTGAAGGAGGCTAAGGAGGGGGCGAGGCGGAGTGACTGGGGGATGGCATTCTAGAGGTTGGGGGCAGAGTGGCTGAAGCCTCTTCCGCCAATGGTGGGGTGGGTGGGTCGGGGGACGTGGAGCAGGCCAGAGCCGGCTGAGCAGAGGGAATGGGCGGGTTGGTAGGGGGTTAGGAGGTCGCAGAGGTAGGGTGGGGCAAGGCTATGGAGGGCTTTGTATGTGAGGACCAGGATCTTGAACTGGATCCTCTGAAGATTAGCGTTTAATCATCACCGCATGCGCAAAACAACTTCATTTCTTGCGATTCAACGCTTACTGGTAAGTGAGAATGCAGCAACGGGTCAAGACTCATTGAATCGCAGTAAACATAGTTTTGACCCGTCACAACATGCACACTTACCGTCTGCAGTGACAAACTACCAAAGGCGCACTTATTGGCTGCATTGAATTACGCATTCGCAACGGTGATTATTGATTAAATCAGATTTTATATGCAACTCGGACTTTGCATAAGTCATATAAAATGTTATGGTGCCAATTGATATGACTTATGTGAGTTTTACTGTACTGTATTTGTTATTCCAAATTTTGAATACTCTGGGCGGAGGTAGTCTCAGTGGTAACATCTGGGAGAACCAAATGGAGAACCACCATTTTGTTTGTCTGGTTTCTTTAACCTTGGCCAGACTTTTATAGTCTGTGTTGAGTTATCATATCACCTGAGTCCATATCTTTGCCTTTTTGGGCAATAGGATTTATTGTAGCTGAATAGTTTACCCACCTTGAAGCTGTGGTGCAATAAATGTAAAAGCAGGGGTGCCAAATCAGGGACAAACCTTTTTCAAAAATGGAGTCAAAGAAGCCTTTGAACTTTACACTGCAGATTTTTAATGGCCTCTTGAATTTTGACCAATGAGCTCGGGCTGTGATTTGCATCCGCCTTTAACCTCCTCGAGTGATGGGGTTTATGAGTTGTCGAGTTAAATCTACATCTCTAGAAAAGATGCCTTTGTTTCTCTGACTTCTTTAAAGTTGTAAAGAATTTGGTAAATTATTTTGTTTGAGTTGCCCTATAGTTCTATTATCCTTAGTCACAGACTCGGGATGGTGCAGCATTGAGCCTGCTAGTGGAGGGTATGTGTAAGCAGCTTGCCAGGTTTATCACTGTGATAACTGCAGAGGGAATGGGCGAAGTTCAATATTTGAACTTGGTATAACATAGTGGCCAGTCCACATTCAAGGTCGGAAGAATATCGAGTTCCCTCTAATCTTTTTCCACACTTGGCCTTTGTCATAGGCACATAGGAACAGGAGGAGACAGTTCAACCCTTCAAGCCTGTTCCGCCATTTAATTAGATCATGGCTGATCTGTACCTCAACTACTTCTTTCAATTCCAATTTCTGCTTTCTCCTCATATCCTTTAATACCCTGATCTAGCAAAAATCTATCAACCTCACTCTTGAAGGTGTGGATGGATCCAGCATCCACGGACTTTTGGGGAGAGAATTCCAGATTTCTGCCACCCTTTGAGTGAATAAATGCTTCCTGGTTTCACTCTTAAATGGTGGGTTCTCATCTTAGGCCAACATTCCATTCGACTTTTTGATTATTTTTTGCACCTGGAAACTAGTTTTTAGTGATTTGTGGATATGGACACCTAACTCTCTCTGCCACTCCACAGTTCTTAATTTCTCCCCATTAAGAAAATATTCTGCTTTTTTCGGTCCATAGTGGATGACCTCACACTTCCCTACATTGAACTCCATCTGCCACAGCTTTGCCCACTCATTTATTCTGTCTAAGTCCCTTTGTAACTTCCTACTCCCATCTACACAATTTATTGAGCCTACTAGCTTAGTATCGTCTGCAAACTTGGATATAAAACATTCTATCCTTTATCCAAGTCATTTATATATATATACATATAAATATGGCGAATCGCTGGGGTCCCAGTACAGACCCCTGGAGGACACCACTTGTCACATCCCACCAATCAGAGAATGTTTCCTTTATCCCTACTCTCTGTTTTCTGCCTCCCAACCAATTACCAAGCCACGTCACAAGGTTACCTCCGACTCCATTTCTTCCATTTTCACTAATAATCCTTTGTGTGGAACCTTATTAAATGTCTTCTGAAACTCCATATAAACGATATGCATAGACACTCTCTTATCCAACATTTTAGAAATGCGCGATACAAATGTAATCTTGTTGTTTGTTTAATGACCTCCTCAAAAAATGCAACAGGTCAGGCACGACCTACCCCTCACAAACCCATGCTGACTCTTTGACTAACTCATACCTGTCCAAGTGTTCAGTTCCTCTGTCCCTGATGATGGATTCCAGTATTTTCCCTACAACTGACGTTAAACTGACAGGTCTGTACTTTCCTAGTTTCTCCCTACAGACACTTTACCTTTCTTCAGCTTTCCTCTTTTCCAGGACCTGATGGCCCTGCACTGCAATTATGATTCGAAAAATAATGTATCTTAATGCTGTTGCTCTTTTATTCCTCAGGTGCTAATCGGACACTTGTACGAGGCCAAAAAGCTTGTTGTTGAGTCCAAAGAACTGCATTAGCAAGAATAGCAACAACTGATGTTCCTCCACCTCCTTTAGAATGCAACCTCGGGGTCAGCGATCACTGTCTTCACTGTCCACATTCCTCAAGGACAGATGCTTCTACATTTCTCATGTGTTAATCAACAGATCCAGTGCATGCTCATGTAAAGCTTTGGGATCCAGTGCATGCTCAACCATCTATTCCAATCAGTTTAATGTATTGCTTAGGTGAATAGTATCAGTGCTACTCAATTTCTTTGATGTTTGGGAGTGGTGGTAATGTACAGCTTTACAACTATACGTGGACGTAACTTTTGTATGACTTGTTTTTTTTACATATTAAGACATTTCTTCTACTAATAGATATTGTACTGTTTAAGATTTTTTTTCACGTATGTAACCAATCTAAAAATGGACGTCAAAGGATAGTTGAAATGAAATACATCAGTACAAACTGTGCTTATTGCTGGTTGGATTTGTCATGGTAAGGATTATTACAATTATAAAACCATCCACTACAATCCTTACATTTTGTTCAAAATACTCATGTGGTTACCCAATGAAAAATGCGCTTTCAGCCTCCCAGTGAATGAAAGAGCACAACTTTTTCTCTTATATTAAAAAAGTCTTACAGTATCTTTAAACAAATAAAACTCCACAAACAAGTACTGTAATGCAACCCAGAATTGGATCAATATAAATCATTAACTGTGACTAATGTGTGGTGACGAGAACACTTCTCCAGCAAGGATGCTTCACCAATAATTGTACAGCATTGCTGTGGTGCTTCACAGCACATTGTTGTCTTATTAAAAATGCAGAATAAATGTTAACCATTTCAATGACATTGTAATTCCTTGTTTGTGTTTTGGTGGATTCTGCGGAGGTGAGAATCTACGTTGTGCTATTTTAAAGCTTATTTTCAAACTTTGGGAATAACAACAATTTACATTTATACAGTGTCTTCATTTTGGGAGGACATCTCATAGTGCTTCAAACAGCTGACAAAATAGCCGAAGGCTTGCCCACTAATAGTGGGGCAAATCGGGTGGGAGATGTGAAACATGAGGAGGGATCAGCCAGGGAAGTAACCGCAGAGAGAGGGCGGGGAGGGGCTATGGAGGCATTTGAAAGTGAGGACAGGAATTTTTAATTTGATCTGCTGGGAGTTGAGAACCAGTGCAGTCGAGTGAGGATAGGGGTGAAGGCTGCTGAAGCCTCCTGTGGAAGAAGACATGGGCAGCGGAATTCTGCATAGATAGTGTATGGAGGAGTCGGGAAGACTGACAAGGAGAGCATTGGAATAGTCAAGCCTGGGTTATTATGTGAGAGAGAAAAACACAGTGTTATAAGGGGGAACTAACTCTGCATAGTTCTTGTCTTCAAGTCTGCTGGAGTATTGTTTTCACGTGTGGTTAGAGACTTGGCACCTAAGCCTATACGATCATTACCCACAGAGTGGAATACTGTGATTTAGCTTTCCTGTCAGAAAGATTGCAATTTCAGTCAACACCCAAACAGTGTATCCCACCCTGCCAAAGATAATAATCCTTGCATTTTGATATAGTGCCTTATCACGTCTTCGAGATAATAATAATAATAATCCTTGCACTTGATATAGCGCTTTTCACGTCGGGAGGACGTCCCAAAGCGCTTCACAGAATATACTGTAAAGTGAATTGACTTCATATTTTGTGGGCGAAACACAGCAGCCAATTGGCACAGCAGTGTCCCACAAATAGTCATGGATTGAAGTGACCGATTTATTATTATTATTTTTTGAAGGAATTATTACCCCCAGAAAAGCGATCCGCTAATCGGCTAACAACCGGGTTCCTACTTGCTGCCAGGTATATATATAATAGCCATGTGGAGTAAGGAAACTTGGCCAACATTTCACCCTGCCAGGAATTGAAACCGAGGCGAGGCAAGTGCTCTAACCACTATAGTTCTACAGGAATCCAAGATAATCGAGGATTTAAGAAGACATGTCAATGTGTAACTTGAAAAATTTAGAGCCTTGAACAACTATAATTCTTGTTGGCTGTTTACAACCTACAGTTGATATCCTCAGCCACTAATAAACCAATTGTTTCCCATCTCTTACCCTTTTCCCACCAATTTTCTGCCCTTTACTGAAAGTGCTGGCCTCAGCTGTGTACCAATCACACCCCTTGGTTTTTGCCCAAGTTGATGTTGTTTTTGTGGTAGCCAAGTCTGTTTCGAAGGTGATAATAATAATAATAATAATAATCCTTGCATTTGATATAGCGCTTTTCACGTCGGGAGGACGTCCCAAAGCGCTTCACAGAACACACTGTAAAGTGAATTGACTGTATATTTGTGGGCGAACGCGGCAGCCAATTGCGCACAGCAATGTCCCACAAACAGTCGTGGATTGAAAATGAGGGTGAAGAGGAGGGGACCGAGGACAGAGCCCTAAGGGACACCACACGAGACAGTGCGGGGGCTGGAGGAAAAGCCATTTGTGGAAACAAAATGAAGACGGTGGGAGAGGTACGACCTAAACCACTCAAGGACATGGCCTTGAAGGTTGAGGTGGGAGGACAAGCGGTGGAGGAGGATAGCGTGGTCGACCGTATCGAATGCGGCCGATAGGTCGAGGAGGACGAGGAGGCAGAGTGAGCCCTGGTCACAGATGGTCAAGATGTCATTGGTGACCTTGACCAGGGCGGTTTCTGTGCTATGGGCAGCACGGAAACCTGACTGAAGGGGTTCGAATAATGAATGGGTGAATAATAATGAATGACACCTATCCTCAAAGCATACTGCCTTCACTCGAGGTCTGGAACTGCACATTTTCCAGTCACTATCACCAGATTGATACTGGTTCTTAGTTATCCATGCAAGATCCTCGCACCTCCCTACCTAACCAACCTGCTTACCCCCCACTCCAACATCCGCTGCCTCCACTCAGCTGGCTCCAGCCTCCTATTTGTCCCTCGTGCCATCCGTTCCACCATCGGTGGCGTACCTTCAGCTACTACGACCAAAACTCTGGAACTCTCCCCCTCCATCCCTCCGCCTTGCCCTCTCCCTCCCAATCTTCAAACCCGATCTAAAGACCTTCCTTTTTGATTGTACTTATGGACCCCTCCCGTGTCCCTCTCCCCCTGGGTCATTGTCAGATTTTACCACTGTGAAGCGCTCCGGGGCACCAACCCCGCACACAAATGGAAGCTGTTGTTGTTAACTGTGAATAATTTATTTCAGACTAAATTACATTTGTATAGCCATAGCGCCTTTCACGTCGGAAGGACTTTCCAAGGCGCTGGATTAAAACAACATTCTCTGCCAAGTTTCCCTTTTCCCCTACCAGGTATGTGATTTTATTATCCTGAATAAAGTGGGAGCAACCTAGTTTCTTCAAAGTTGCTTACCAACTCAAGCATGTACACCCTTGGTGCAATACCTCAGTTTTTACAATTCTACAACACCTATCGTCCACATCTTTAACAAAGAAAAAATATTTTTGTATTGATACTTACAATGTTCAAGAACAGAAATATACAGAACCACTAAACCACTTTGCCTTTAACATACTGGAATAATGACAATCTGGCGTTGAAAGATGAACCTGTAGTTCTCTGGAAGGACTAAACTATGGCCCAATACAGTTTTATTTTCAGAGATCCAATTAAACAGCATGGGGTGGACACAGTGTTTTGCATCTGAGCACAGAGCACTGGAGAACTCAAATAGCAAGTTTGCACAGTGTACTCAAGTGACATCATTAATTTAATCAATTTGTCGCTATTTCTTGTATATACTTTGTGAACTGTTGACTTGGTCTTTTTCTTTGCAGTTTTGTCGACCATGTAAACATGCTGCTGGCAGGACCCTGTCCTTGTAGTGCTGCCGGTACTGGCTGTTCATGGGACACTGTTTTGCATTGGCTGTTACAAAATGTACGATTCTGTAATTCAGCTCAGTGCGAGATACATTGCAGTCCAGAATCTACTGCAATTTGGGTCCTGATACAAAGTGTACTGTTGTAAAGTGTTACAGTAACGCTGTTTTTCCCTTGAGAGTTGTTGTATAGGAAGGAAACTGGCTGATTCACAAACTAGACTAAATCACGAACACCAACAGTATTCAGCCACTCAGGTGGGCAGAGCCATCATAAGCTGTCGTTCCCAGGTCCTCCCACCAAGTTGAAGGCACATGCTGTTGAATAGCTGAGAGGAAACTCTGTGGCTTGGGACGATAGCTGCTGGGAAGACGTTACCTGGTGTCCAGATTCATGAACACGTGTTCATATATCCAGAACTTGGCATACACGTTGATTGATATGCAGAGGTGAGCAGCCACTGCTCAAGCTTTGCATTTCCAACTGATGGAACCATTGGTCGATGGTGGTTGAGCTACAACAAACCCTGAGTCTCTGGCCAAGCTGTAAGCAGGAGGATGGTTAACAATGCTCTCACGCATTTTACACTGAGCTGTGCTGCTCATCAAAAGGCTTGCAGGGATAGTTCTTGTATCTGCTCTCCACCTAGTGAGGGCTCAGACGTGCATTTACCAAGTGTCAAATGATTATCCTGGGGGGAGCGGCTGAGTTGACTCCCAAGATGACGTGCCTGGTAATGGAATGCCAGAACTGAATCAATCCTCTGTGGTGGTTCTCGGCAGTCCTGTTCCTGAGCCAGGCGACCATGACACTGTTGTCTCAAGATCTTCCTCTTTGACCACATCTTCGTCATCATTCCCCACTCCCCCACCAGCCCCTGGCCCCAACCAACCCCCAAGCTCAGGTCCAAACCCTTGACCAGCGCTTTGGGACATCCAACGTGAAAGAAGTTACAGGAATGCAACTGTTGTTGTTGATGAGAGACCAGCCAGTCTGGTTCGTCGTTAGGACTTGAAGAATCTTCCAATTCCAAATTTCCATACGTGGAAGGAATGCATGTGTGGAACTGTTTGGTTTTGATACAATTAAGATGGATTTCTTCATGTGCCAGACTGGCGGCTGAGCAAAAGAATATCTAATGACTCTGTATTCTAAGCTCCATTATAATTCTTTATATTTCATAGTGTTTCTGATAAGATTGATTTTATAAAATTATACCTTTTGTGGAGGCAAGCGGGAGTCAAAGCCACAATCCAACTGATTTGGCTCCTGAAAGTGAGTATTATATCAGAATGATTCATGCAGAACAGTGTCCCATATTGGTCAGTATCAATGGGTAAAACTGATATTACCCATATGCATTCCCCATCTTTAACCACAGGTAAAACTGATACTCTCCATTACTAACTGCAGGTAAAACAGATATACTCCCCCATCTCTAACCACTGGTGCAGTAGTAGCACAAGACGTTTCTGTGCAGTGTGCAGCCTCCTGGCTGAAACTGATACAATGGGACAGCTCACATGGTGAAAACTAAAAGTAAATACTGAACCCTGTCCATTTTCCTCTGCTTTGAATTTCTTTTCCACAAATCTTACTGTATAAATAATCGTAAACATATCCCACCAAGCAGTGATTCATAATGATGTAACCGATATCATTGCTACCAACCTCTGCAACTTAACCTTTGACCGAATACTAGTAGATATGGCTTCTGATTCCCTCTTTTCTCAGGTATTCCCTGGGAATACCTGTGGACAGTGTATTCCCAGATTTCTTCCGATTCTGCTCTACATCCCATACTTTCTGCAGGATAGTACTTTTATTCTGCAACAAGCAGCCCCAGTGGGCAAATCCACTGGAGTTTGGTACTAAGATGTATACAGACTGGGAGGATGTCAGATTTGATCCTTGTCTAAGTCAACTACGTTGGGTTTGTGTGTAGGCTGAGTTGATAGCACTCTCGCCTTTGACTCAGTGAGTTGTGGGTTCAAGCCCCACATCAGGACATGGAACTCTATGCTGTCCCTCCAGCTGGGGGTTGCAGCATTGTTGCAGTTGCCATGCTTTCGATAAGGCATTCAATCGAAATCTGTTCAGGAAGAGAAGGCATTTTCTCCTGGGGTCCTGGCCACCAATTCCCCAATAAAATAGGTCATTCACTTTGTGGTTCCTTGTGGGATATTGCTGTGGGCAAATTAGCTGCAGCGTTCGCCCACAACAATCACATGAGGCATTAATCCTGTGAAGCACTTTGAGACGCCCTCCGATGTCAAAGGCACTATGTCAAATGGCAGCAGTTACTGTCATTTCACAGACAGTACTAGTCTGGAGCAGAAAAAGGCACATAAAGGGGCCACTTACAACCACTTGTGCAGCATTCCTGAGTGACCCTCGACTTGAGAAAGTCCTGAGCTGTGATTGTGATCCCTGACAAAAGTCGAGCGTACAGTAAACTCCTGATAACTTGACCCTGGCTTAACTTGTCACTGCCACTTAAGTCATCATGCTGTCAACATCCCGGCCCCATTTATTTATGCATTTATACAAATGTTTAACTCTCCACTTCATATAACTCGTCACTGAGTCCTTTTCCCTCAGAGTGAAGGCCTATGAGCTATTTCAACTTTGTAGGGACGATATCAATGGGTTATAATAATAATCCTTGCATTTGATATAGCGCTTTTCACGTCGGGAGGACGTCCCAAAGCGCTTCACAGAATATACTGTAAAGTGAATTGACTGTATATTTGTGGGTGAACGCGGCAGCCAATTGCGCACAGCAATGTCCCACAAACAGTCGTAGATTGAAAATGACCAATTTTTTATTATTGTTTTTGGTTTTGGAGGGATTATCATTAGGCTCTGTGTGGAGTAAGGAAACTTGCCCAAGGTTTGGCCCTCTGCCTGGAATTGAACTCAGGTCTCTCACTTGCAAAGCGAGTGCTCTAACCACTGAGCTACAGGACTCCATCGTTATTACGATACGATTGCCAGTAGGGGCGATGGGTATGGGTAACTACAGTAGAACTTTCATATTGTACTTTACTACACTCGGTGCTGTTTGAAAACATGTTGTACTTTTTGCTGTTTTCAGATTTTAAAACAACACCAGTCCAATACAAACAATCTGCCAGCTGCAGCAATGTACTGTCCTTACTGAGAAGAGACCAAAGGGCTGGTTAGTTAAAAGCCCATCACCCTTTGTTAGACTGCTTGCTTCATAAGAGAACACCTCAGTCGTGTCCATCTCTTAACATTATAATTAGAAAGTACAGTATTTACAAACACTGGCCAATTTGCTATTGTTTTCTGTGAACTCAGGCTGGCAGTGCCTTGTTCCATATTATAAAACGCTTTGTAATCCATTCCAGGATTGATACAGTTTTATTTAGCACTAAAACTTGTTTTATTTGCATACTTTAGCTGTGGTTTTTTGGTTCCCGGCCTACTCTAAGTGAAATTGAACACAGCATTTATCAACTCTAATTCGACTCTGAAGTTTTTTTTAAAAAAAACTCATGGCCTGAACCACTTTACAATTGACTGCCCATGAATCAAAACTTCTCCATCGACCTTTCTGTTGATATCTACACCTATATCTAGCCTCCTCCCTGCTCCAGCTATAAATAGACCGCGAATCGATAGCATCTAATACGTGTACAGCTGAAGGGAAATGCTTCAGAAATGTGCTGAGAGGAGTGTCCGACCTGACTCCTCGTCAGTAAACCGAAAGGTCCTCTCTCTCTCTAAGTGCTTCTGACTTCAGGCCGGTAAAGCGCTTTGAGACACTGTCCGGCATGAAGGGCGGTATATAAATGCAAGTTGTTGTAAAGCAGTGGGCTGAGCAGTGGAGCTGAGCATTAGCGCACTAACCCACTGGTTTGAATCCCGCTCAAGACCCATGTTCTGGACCACATCAACGGGTGCTGGGTGACAACAACCAGAGGCTGTGGCAGAGGCAGAGGCAAGCCTTGGGGCAGTGCCAGCCTCGGAACCTGGCAGCCAAGCTACGGGGGTGCGAAGGAGGGGCAACGGCAAGTGTATCATGGACATGCTTCGTCTCCTCAGCTCCAGCTGGCAGACCAAGTGATCCAAAAACAAGGGTAAAAGTGAGAAAAAAAACACCCATCACACACCAAAACGAAAACTTGCCCACATTTTCTCCTAATAAAGTTAAAACACAGACACGCATGTGGTTTAGTCAGAGCCTCAATGATTGTCCGGGACAGACTTGCAATGGTCAGTTCACAATCCACGGTTATCGAACAAAATAACATTCGTTTCAAGTTAAGAGCTCCCAAGTTAAGTCTCAAATTATCAGGTGGTGCGCTGTCACTTGTCTTCAGCGCAGAACGGGGATGTACAGCAGCACAGTGTGTCTGTGCTCACACCCCCTCAACCTCAGGGGTGATGAGGGAAGGATGGATCAGGGAGGAGGTATCCCACAATCACAGGGAGGGGGGAGGGGACCAGGTCAAAAACCCTACTGGGCTGCTCTCTCCCCTTTTTTTGATATCACAAATGCCACCAGAATCTGGGCAGAGCAATTACGTTGGAGGAAGGAAGGGAGGGAGGGGGGGAGGGAGGGAGGAAGGAAGGGCTTTAAAAATAATCAATGATTTAAAAAAAAAGTAAGACTTAAAAAAAAAAGTTTAAAAAGTCTGGTGTTTGCACTGCCAACTTTTGCCATTTCAAAGTTAGTCTCGTTCAGAAGCCAAAAGCTATTCCTGAGGCCAATCTGCCTTACGTTTCCTTCAATAACTCACTCACTAACACAATTGGAGCATTATCCTAAGATTGTAAGGTATGATAGCTGTGGGGGGGGGGGGGGGGGGGGGGAGAGGGGGAGAGGTGAGGGTCGTGGGGGGGGGGGGGGTTCTGGCTCGTGATATTCTGCTAAACTCAAGGCACCGTGTCATCGCGAAGGGAAGGCGTACATATATATAAAAAAAAGAGGAAGATGGCATCTCTTTTAATGCAGAAGAACAAATGCAAAATTTTGGAAGGAGAGAGAGAGAGAGAGATTAAAAAAAAAGATAATTCCGAGAGGGGTGGAGGGGTGGGGGGGGGGAAAAAAAGAAGTGCTAAGTGTTAGCGTGTTGGTCTGCTCTGGCCTCGCACTGCAGCGCGTAGTTTTTTCCCGAGTTGTTGTCCCAGAACTCCTCGTGCTCTGTCCTGTAGCAGACGGCGAAGTGCACGAAGGAGCCCTGGTCCATGAAGGGGGGGATGGAGAGGCTGAAGGAGAAGCGGTCGGTGGCCGCCCGCTCCGGGCCGGCCAGCCTCTCCAGGCGGGCGGCCGGGCTGTCCAGGCAGGACCGCCAGCTGTCGAAGCTGTACCGGACCCGCACGTCCTTCGCCTGGGTCAGGCGCAGCGCCCGGACCAGCCCGTGCACCTCGAAGTGGCTGACCGTCAGCCGCTCCAGGCACACCTTGTCCCGCTCCACCCGCTGCAGGAAGTCGCTGCTGTCGCCGGGCATGAGGAAGGCGGCCCGGAGCCAGTGCATCCCCAGCGCCTTGAAGTTCTCGTTCAGGTCGTCCACGATGGAGAAGCTCCGGAGCCTCAGGAAGACCTTGGTGGGCACGTGCGGCTCGTCCGTGGCCCTGAAGTGCTTGACGCTGGCCAGGCTCAGGCCCAGCGAGTCGGCGAACTTCACCTTCTTGCGCAGACCCCCGTGCAGGTCGCTGCGGTAGTCCGAGGGGTCCCGCAGGCAGGGCAGCGACTTGGTGCGGCGCCGGTTCAGCCGCAGCTCCCCGCCGCCCGCAGGCTTGGGGCCGCCCGGGCCCGGGCCCGGGGAGGGGGAGGGGGCCGGGCCCGGGCCCGGGGAGGGGGCGGCCTCCCTCTGCAGCCCCCGGAGCTGCGCTGGGCCGCTCCCCTCCTCCGCGTTGCCGCTCAGTTGCTCTCTCTCCAACTCCACGCGCAACACCTGGGACGTCCCAGGGTCGTGGGCTTCCATGGCATCGCCTCCTCCTCCTCCTCCTCCTTCCTCTCCAGCGGGGAATGGACTGAGCGAAGGGCGAAACGCCACCTGCGCCGCTTTACTTTCTCAATGGGGTTTTGCTCCGGGGAGAGGGGAGAGGGGAGAGGGGGCGGTGGGTGTGGGTGTGGGACTGGTCCCACAGAGCTCAGCTCCGCTGCTGATCCGGAGCCGCAGTGTGTTGACTTGGAGCCGCCGCCGCCGCCGGTGTGTGTGTGTGTGTGTGACTCTCCCTCTCTCTCTCTCCCTCTCTCTCACTCACTCACTCACTCACAAGGCAACTCGGCGTCAGGGGCTGAGTTGAGTGACTTGCAGCCCCCGAGCCCCTGCCCCACAGCCCCCCCCCCCCCCCTCCGCCGGCGTCAGAGAGACGTGGGCACAGCACACACAAAGCCGCGAGGTGAGTCACTGACCCACCGCCAGGGGGCGCGCGGGGCGGGGGTGGTGGGGGGGGGGGCAACAGCGGCCCCACCGAGAGGGTCAGAGGGGGGGGACCTCACTGAGAGGGCGAGGGAGCCACCCTGGAAGCACATGGGGGGGACGTAGTCTTATTGAGAGGCACAGGGTCAGGCTTACACTGATGATGGGGAAGGAGCCGCGCCGCCAACTTGAGCACATGTCCTGCCACATGCCCACTCGGGACATGAGGTGGGTATGGAGATGATCTTGAGCTCACCGAGGCGCTGTGATAATAGTAACCCTTGCATTTGGTGTCGTGCCTTGTCACGTTGGAAGGACATCTCAAAGCGCTTCACGGGAATCACTGAAATAGAGTGACTGTGTATGTGCGGGCAGAGGCGGGCGGCACGGATGCGGGCGGCAAATCCCACAAACAGCCGCGACCAAATAAAGTTGGGATTTGTTGGCCAAATCACCGGGAGAACCGCCTTCACTTTATCACTAGTGCCATACGATGTGGAGTCCTGTAGCTCAGTGGTTAGAGCACTCGCTTTGCAAGCGAGAGACCTGAGTTCAATTCCAGGCACAGGGCGAAACCTTGGGCAAGTTTCCTTACTCCACACAGAGCCTAATAATAATCCCTCCAAAACCAAAAACAATAATAAATTGGTCATTTTCAATCCACGACTGTTTGTGGGACATTGCTGTGCGCAATTGGCTGCCGCGTTCCCCACAAATATACAGTCAATTCACTTTACAGTGTGTTCTGTGAAGCGCTTTGGGACGTCCTCCCGACGTGAAAAGCGCTATATCAAATGCAAGGATTATTATTATTATTATTATTATTTAACATCTGCACAGGCACACAGTACCTTGTTTTATAGTCTCATCCGAAGGGTGGCACCTCCGACATTGCAACACACCCCAGGACTGCATTGGAGATCAGTGTAAATGTAAACTGTAGGGATTAGTATAAAATGACAAGCTGCCATATGAGTTTTAAGTCCTGGTGCAACAGACAGATACCAAGGCAGCTGAGCAACATGCCAGCACTCAGAGGGCACAAGACTCACAGGAGAGATTGTTTGGAAACAACGCTAGATTGAACATGCACGGATTTAGAGGAATTGTACGAAACGGTGCTCAAACAAAGACAACACAGAGGCATGAGAGACAAGCCATGGAAGTAGGAGAATCATACCAAGGGGATATGAAATGACAGAATTTTAGAGAAATGCAGTTCCAGGAAAGCAGAAAACTTATGGTGAGAGGATGTGGGCAGTCGGTACTTACCAAAGAGATGTCAGGGATCCACAAAGACAACAACAACAACAAAATTACACTTATAGAGCGCCTTTCACATCGGGAGGACGTCCCAAAGCGCTGAACAGTCAGCTGTCGGGACCGAGCATGGGGGAGGGGTGGTGTAGAGGTGAGGGAAGGCAGAGAGATGGGAGGGAGACCAAATGCACGGTCGAAGAGAAGGGTCTTGAAACCGGCCTTGAAGGATGCGAGGGAGGAAGTAAGGCGAAGGGACCATGGGATTGGGGTTCCAGAGTGTGGGGGCAGAGAGGCTGAAAGCCCGGCCACCGATGGTAGGACGGGTCGGGCGGTGGTAGGGCGTAAGCCGGAGCATCATGAACGGAGGGAGCGGGCAGGTTGGTAGGGAGTCAGCAGGTCAGAGAGGTAGGAGGGGGCAAGGCCATGGATGGCCTTAAAGGTGAGAACGAGGATCTTGAACTCGATCCTCTGTGGGATGGAGAGCCAGTGGAGTCGGGCGAGGGTGGGAGTGATGGGGTCACGGAGCCTGGTGCGTGAGAGTACCTGAGTGCAGAGTTTTGGATGATCTGCAGCTTGTGAAGGGAAGAGTTGGGAAGGCCGATGAGGAGGGAGTAATCGAGCCTTGAGGTGACGAATGCGTGGGTGAGGGTTTTGGCAGCCTGAGGGGTGAGGCAGTGGCGGAGTCTGGCAATGTTGCGGAGGTGGTGGTAGGCAGTACCGGTCATGGTGCGGATGTGGGGGAGAAAGGACAGTTCAAGGTCAAACAAGATACCCAGGTTCCAGACTGGCTTAGTGAGGTTGAGTGTGTAGCCATGGAGGCTGATGCTGCCAGCGCCTGAGGTGCAGAGGCGCTGACACGAGCTAATCAGGAAGGCCTCAGTCTTCCTGACGTTGAGTTGGAGAAAGTTGGCCCTCGTCCAGGACTTGATGTCAGACAGGCAGTCGGTCAGGACCTCAGTAGTCCTGGAGTTCAGGGTGGAGGCAGAGAGGTAGAGTTGGGTGTCATCCGCATACATGTGGATGTCACCAAGGGGGAGCATCTAGAGGGTGAAGAAGAGGGGACCGAGGACAGAGCCCTGAGGAACACCGCACGAGACAGTGCGGGGGCTGGAGGAGAAACTGTTTGCTATGACGAAGTGGAGGCGGTGTGAGAGGTAGGACCTGAACCAGTTAAGGACAGAACCTTGAAGGTTGAGGTGGGAGGAGAGGCGGTGGAGGAGGATTGAGTGGTCCACGGTGTTAAAGGAGGCGGAGAGGTCGAGGAGGCAGAGGGAGTTCTGGTCACACATGGTCAGGATGTCATTTGTGACCTTGACCAGAGCAGTCTCTGTGCTGTGGGCAGCACAGAAACCCGATTGGAGGGGTTCATGGAGGGAGTGAGAGGAGAGGAAAGAGCAAAGCTGGGAGGCAACGGCTTTCTCAAGGACCTTGGATAGGAAGGGGAGATGGGCTGGTAGCTGGATAGCTGTGATGGGTCGAGGGAAGGTTTTTCCAAGGTGGGGGTGATAGTGGCTGTTTTGAGGGGGGAAGGAACAGTGCCAGATGACATGGAGAGGTTAATGATGTTGGCGAGTAGTGGAGCAAGGAGGTGGAGCTGGGATTTAAGGAGAGGGGTGGGGATGGGGTCCAGGGAGCAGGTAGGGGACTTCATGGAGGATACCGTGTTGAAGACAGAAGAGAGGGTGACAGATTCAAAGGTGTGGAAGGAGGGATGGGTAATTGTCAGATGGGTAATTGTGTGGGGTGAGGGTAGGGAGGGGTTGGAAGTTGGGAGGGCAGTGGCAGCTGTGTGGATTCCCTCGATTTTGGACTCGAGGAAGTCCAGCAAAGTAGTGAGTGCAACAGGTAACACTGAGCACGCACATTTTCACAATCTAGTAACAAACATACATTCCTGAGCCTCGGTGTCAAACTGGCTTCATTGGTAGCACTCCGATCAGAAGGTTGTGGATTCAAGCTCCGCTTTGGGACTCTGAGCTCATCGTCTTGGTTGGCACCAGTGTAGTGCATGGGGCTACTGCATTGCTGGAGTTGTCATTCTTTGGCTGAGACATTAATCGGATGACATGAATTTGCCAGTTCAGGTGGATTCTAAAAATTCTGCAAAATTGTTAGAAGACGTCTCAGAATATACTGTAAAGTGGAATGACTATATTTTGTGGGCAAAATGTGGCAGCCAATTGCACGCAGGGGTGTCCCACAAACAGTCATGGAGTGACCAGATTTTGTTTGTGGGGAAATGGACTGGAGCCATCACATGCCCTCCGTTGCTTGCACTTAACCATAAATTAAATCTTTAAATCACCTGATAGGTTTGTTGTTGGAACCCGTCAGCGAAATAGTAAAGGGGCTGTTGTCATTGCATATCAGCTGTAGTTAATCATTATGTGACAGGTTATTTGAAGTAATAGGGATGGACCGATGGAACCTTAACCCAATGTCACAGCAACAAAATGCTCACGCACACAGACACACGCACACAGAGCTGATTGATGACTTTGGCACAGTGGCAGGGACATTTCTTATGACATCTAATAACAATAATCGCTTGTTTTGAATAACATCAAAGATTTTAGTAAAATGTATAAAACCAAATGCCTACGGGTAATTATCAGTTTGGCTCAGTTGAGCACCCTCGCTTCTGCATCAGAGAGTTGTGGGGTCAAACGCATGATTATAAATGACACTCCAATGCAGTCCTGGGGAGTCGCATCATTGTCAGACTTCAAATGAGTCATTAAACCAAGTTTCCATCTGATTGTGAAAGCTTAATTAGCTGAATGATCTCCTGTGCCAATTTTCCTATGCCAGCTGTAGTGACTAGATACTTGTAAGCAAACTGCCTACAGTTTGTGGGATTTAAAGTCCACAAACAGTTCATAGAATGAATGCTAAATTTATCTGCAAGACTGATGGGCATGACAATGCAATGAAAATAACTAAAGGAGAAACTTTTTTAATGTCTGTAGCCATCATAATTCTGACAGAAGATGTATTCTTGGTTGACAGCCTGCTTCAGTTGGTAGCATTAAACAGGCAGATGGGCCCTTTATCTGGTACTGTCTACCTGTTCTGGTGGACGTTAAAGATCCCATAGCACTATTTGAAAAGAGAAGGGAGTTTCTCCTGATTCCCCAAAATAAAATTGGTCACTCACTCCATGGCTGTTTGTGGGACACAGTTGTACGCAACTGGCTGCCGCCTTACACCACAAAATACACAGTATATCCTCAGAAGAGCTTTGAGACTGCTTGACGATATGATAAGGCACTATGTCTTATTATAATGAATAGATGTAAAGCTGCTGATTCTTCCTGGCCTTTAAGGAAGGTAGATGACTGGTGCTAGATGATAGACCAAGAACAAGTACGTTTGAACCCAGAGTCACAAAGGTGATAAAGAGGCTAACAAAGATGTTTGTTCACATATCAGGAACAGAATACTCTGTGGTCTGCTAATGACTCTCTAAGAATTCCCAACAACAATACCATCAAGACATTGAATTATAGAAAAAAATCCCATTAAATTTACAAAACAGAAGGAAGCATCATGAGCTCACTGTACCCTTTCTCACACTAGATCCCCACTCCAGCTAACGGCTCTAAACTCCACCTTTTTTCTTCAGGTAATAACCCTCAATCTAAAACCTCTCTTGGTATTGATTCACCAAAGAATAGAAGATATATCCAGCTCTACACTATTGCTCAGTGTTTGGGAAGAACGTTTTTGGGAAAGTAAGTCCTGTATTTGAAAAAGACGAGCTGTCCAGCCAGGAACCAGAGTTACCTGGGTGTGATGAAGATGATTTGTGCTTTCCCCTCAGAATTTGAATAATAATAATTCAAGGCATGAGAAGGAAAGAAGTTGAAAGCAAGGCAGAATTTACTTCTCTGCTTTAAGGAAAAACTGTCCATTTAAGCACTTTGGGACGTCCTCTCAACGTGAAAGGCACATAATAAAAGTAAATGTGTATTATATTCAGTCCACCTGAGGAAAACATGAATCTGGAAAGCTTTACATTCTCCTATGAAGACAGGATATTTGTTTAGACTCTTAATCAAGGCAATGAACTGTTTTGTTTTAAGAACATAAGAAAAGATTATGTAAATCAACAACAATTTGCATTTTTATATTTTTGGATTATAAATCATCAATTCTAACCAGATAATCCACCTTATAACTGACAATACTCCACCAGGGGGAAAGCTTCAATAGAAAAAGCGCAAATCAAATTCCTGAGGTAATCAAATCAAAACGTTTTCCAGTCCCTTCATGACCATTACAGAGAAAATATGGAGAGTTGATTTAAACTAATGGCAAGCCACAGTTGATTTTGTGTGAGGAGGACCCAGTCCAAAAGATACTGAATACTGAATATAATAGACAATGAATGTGTTAACATAAGACAGTAACATCTCTTTGTATAGCTCAGGTGAAGTATAAACTACAAAAGTAAAGTCTATGCACTTTATAACTTCATCTGAAACCTGATGACATCTTGTCACAGGGTGGATTACTTTACAGATCTTCTCTTGCTTACCAAGAAGGGTTGGGGGGAGGGGATGGGGGCTTTATGCCTGTTCAGGTAGATGTTAATGATTTTATAATACTTGAATTTGCATTTTTTCCGAGCATTTCATCAACAATTGCACACAGCTGTGTCCTATAAACAGCCATGATGGGAGTAACAAATTTTATCTGAGGGATTGTTGCCCAGGACGCTGAGGGAGACTCCCTTGGATAGTTCTACGGCATCTTTAATAGCTGCCTGAACCGGAAGAGAGAATCTCAATTTAACGATTCATCTGAAGGACAGCACCTCCAACAATGTAGTGCATTCCAGCGTTAACCTACAACCTTTTGACTCAAAGAGGCAAGAGTGCTACCAACTGACTGAAGCTGGCACAACTGCTTTTTCCTTAATAGGTTCCCAAAAGTTATTTTCTTATTTTGTACATATTAACATCATCTTGCTACCCTAGGATAGTGCTGGTATTCTTTCCTGGTATCTTTCAGCCCCTTGGGACATCCTCCCGACGTGAAAGGCGCTCTATAAATGTAATTTTGTTGTTGTTGTGTCTTAACGTGTCCACTTTTGAGCCACTTTCTGTTACGAATGGAAGTTTGTGAAACTCCTCTTGTTGATCACTAATCCAGGCAAGAATAAATGATCACCACCCTCTGCTTGCTGGTGACTGGTTTATGCAAATCTTAACAGATAAGATTATCCTTAAAGCTATTGTGAAATTCAAAACTGCATGTACACATCCTAAACTAACTCACCATTTCATACCAGATTATCTTTCAGCATCAGAGTAGAGAAAGAAGGATCTTATAATAATAATATTAATAATCCTTGCATTTGATATAGCGCTTTTCACGTCGGGAGGACGTCCCACATCAAAGTGCTTCCAAGCTACTTCTGTCAAGTGAATGACTGTTTTGGAAGGCAAAATGGCAAGCATTAGCATTAGCAAGGTCCTACAAAGAACATGAAGACTGCACAAATATGTTTTGAAAAAAGGTTACGTAACCACTTCTACAGTTCTACAATATTGATTGTACTTGCGGACGTGATTGGCATTGAGTAGTCTCTCCATGATTAAATGGATTCATTTTAAAAACTTCACAAGAAGTCTATCAACACAGTGCACAAAGAAAATGAAGTGCAAGAATCTGGTAGAAGCATAACTCAACCTTTTGTCCCCATGTCCTGTCCACTCTTTTGTGTTTATTAATGCATGAATTTACTTTTCCAACCAGAGATACAAGAACTGAAAATCAGTCTGAACTAGATACTATATCTAGCCGCATTATGATACATTTTCAATAAATGCACAAATAAAACCTGCTGAGAAACGGAAATTCCATTTAAAACATATAAGAACTTAACATAAAACATACAGAAATGTTTGCAGTACAATATTTAATTGATAAAGCATAACAACAGCCCCTCCCCGCACCCCCATCCTCTGATTGAAACCTACATTGAATTGTACATTTTAAGAATGATAATTCTCACATTTTTAAATAGCGTCTCATCAGATTGTCTGAATATCTCAAAGCATTTCACAGAATTTTTACTGTGTAGTAACTGCATTTGTAGTTGAAAGTGGCAGCCACTTTGTGACAGCAATGTTTCAAAAGCATGTTGGGGGTTAGTCTGGTAGCACTCTCATCAGTGAGTCAGAAGGTTGTGGGTTCAAGCCCCACATCAGGACTTAGAATCACATCGTCTAAGGTGACACTGAGATGTTAATCCGAGGTCCCACTTGCCTGTTCCGGTGGACATCAAAGATCCTACGACATTATTTGGTTGCTCACTCCCAAGGCTGTGGGACATTGCTGTGCCCAAAGTGGCTGCATTTTTGCTCATAAAACACGATCAATCCTCTTAACAGCAACCAGAGCTATTAATGAAAAAGCAAATATAAGGGACCTGGTGCCTGTAGAGCTGCTCTGGCTGAAGTGCCTGTTGTAGCCAGGGTGGCCGGAAACTAAAAAAACATTTGTAGCCCAAAGTTCACCAAAACTAGCCCCCAAATAGCTCAATATCATGTGTTGTCTCCTATGGGGTAGCAGAGTGGCCAATTTAGGTCAGTGCCATGACACGCTCTGCCTTCCCCCACCTCCGCTACTGCCTCACCACTCAGGTCAGCGAACCCCTCACCCATGTGTTCATCACATCTGGGCTCAACTACACCAACGCTTGTTGGCTTTCCTAACTCTTCCCTCCACAAGCTGCTAATCAGCCAGAACTATGCAGCTCGAGTCCTTTCCCGCCCCAGGCTCCGTGACCATATCACCCCCAGCCTCGCCCGACAACACCGCTCCCCATCCCCCAGCGGCGAGAGTTCAAAATCCTGGTCCTCACCTTCAAGGCCCTCCATGGCCTCGCCCCCTCCCTAACTCTGGAGCTGCTGACCCCATATCGTCCTGTCCACTCCCTCCACTCCGCAGGTTCCAGCCTGTTCCATGTCCCCCGTCCGTCCCACCATCGGCAGCCGGTCTTAATCCTCTCTGTCCTCGCCCTCTGGACCTCCATCTCACATTCCCTTCACCTCACTCCCTCCCTCGCCTTCTTCAAGGCGCGTATCAAAACCCAACCCTACCGCTCCTTCGGCCACTCTCCTACCCCCCCCTACCCCGCCCTCCCGGCCCCGCCCTCCTACCCCGCACTCCCGGCCCCGCCCTCCTACCCCGCACTCCCGGCCCCGCCCTCCTACCCCGCCCTCCTACCCCACCCTCCCGGCCCCGCCCTCCTACCCCGCCCTCCTACCCCACCCTCCCGGCCCCGCCCTCCTACCCCGCCCTCCTACCCCACCCTCCCGGCCCCGCCCTCCTACCCCGCCCTCCTACCCCACCCTCCCGGCCCCGCCCTCCTACCCCGCCCTCCTACCCCACCCTCCCGGCCCCGCCCTCCTACCCCGCCCTCCTACCCCACCCTCCCGGCCCCGCCCTCCTACCCCGCCCTCCTACCCCACCCTCCCGGCCCCGCCGTCCTGACATGATGCAATTTGTTGTTGTGCTTTTGAAACTGTAAGAAAAGGTGTTCAAAGGAGAAGAACTATTTGATGGTTTAAATTAAATTAAAAACTGGGCATCGCCCAAAGCCAGAACAAAACCCGCCCAATTGGGCGTCAGTGCACCCAACCTGCTGCCTGTGCTGTACTGCGGCCTGTGCCGCGCTCCTCCAGCCTCCAGGTGGCGCCGCCCAACAGCTCCCGCAAAGCGCCGGGGGGCGGGGCTACAAGGCAGGAAGTGACGCTGGGCTGTGGCGCGGGCAGACGAGCAGGAGAGGCGGCGGCACGTGGGGATGTTGCGAGAGCTGGAGACGTGCGCGCGGCGGCTCCTGGTGTGTGAGAAATCTAACTTCCAGAACCGCAGCTCCCGCCACCGCCAGCAAGTGACCGGCCATCACTACAACTGTCAGGTCAGTCAGGGCGGGGCTGGGAGTGAGTGACAAGGGGGGCGGGGCTGGGAGTGAGTGACAAGGGACGGGGCTGGGAGTGAGTGACAAGTAGGGGGGCGGGGCTGGGAGTGAGTGACAAGCGGGGGCGGGACTGGGAGTGAGTGACAAGTGACTGGGAGTGAGTGACAAGTGGGGGCGGGGCTGGGAGTGAGTGACAAGCGGGGGCGGGGCTGGGAGTGTGACAAGTGAGGGTTGGGAGTGAGTGACAAGTGGGGGCGGGGCTGGGAGTGAGTGACAAGGGGGGCGGGGCTGGGAGTGAGTGACAAGGGGGCGGGGCTGGGAGTGAGTGACAAGGGGGCGGGGCTGGGAGTGAGTGACAAGTGACTGGGAGTGAGTGACAAGTGGGGGCGGGGCTGGGAGTGTGACAAGTGAGGGTTGGGAGTGAGTGACAAGTGGGGGCGGGGCTGGGAGTGAGTGACAAGGGGGCGGGGCTGGGAGTGAGTGACAAGGGGGCGGGGCTGGGAGTGAGTGACAAGCGGGGGCGGGGCTGGGAGTGAGTGACAAGCGGGGGCGGGGCTGGGAGTGAGTGACAAGGGGGGTGGGGCTGGGAGTGAGTGACAAGCGGGGGCGGGGCTGGGAGTGAGTGACAAGGGGGCGGGGCTGGGAGTGAGTGACAAGCGGGGGCGGGGCTGGGAGTGTGACAAGTGAGGGTTGGGAGTGAGTGACAAGTGGGGGCGGGGCTGGGAGTGAGTGACAAGGGGGGCGGGGCTGGGAGTGAGTGACAAGGGGCGGGGCTGGGAGTGAGTGACAAGGGGGCGGGGCTGGGAGTGAGTGACAAGGGGGCGGGGCTGGGAGTGAGTGACAAGTGGGGGCGGGGCTGGGAGTGAGTGACAAGCGGGGCGGGACTGGGAGTGTGACAAGTGAGGGTTGGGAGTGAGTGACAAGTGGGGGCGGGGCTGGGAGTGAGTGACAAGGGGGCGGGGCTGGGAGTGAGTGACAAGGGGGGCGGGGCTGGGAGTGAGTGACAAGCGGGGGCGGGGCTGGGAGTGAGTGACAAGCGGGGGCGGGGCTGGGAGTGAGTGACAAGGGGGGTGGGGCTGGGAGTGAGTGACAAGTGGGGGCGGGGCTGGGAGTGAGTGACAAGGGGGGCGGGGCTGGGAGTGAGTGACAAGGGGGGCGGGGCTGGGAGTGAGTGACAGGTGAGAGCAGAGCTGGGAGTGAGTGACAGGTGAGAGCAGGTCCAGGACAGTACCTGTCGCCCTTGCCTCGCTGGTTTTATACTTTTTCACTTATTATATTATTATTAACCTAAACTACTCCTGAAGTCAGGGTTTGATAATCTTAGTACAGATTTAATTGAGCACAATACATTTTAAATGGATTATTTCTGCTTGTTCAGATATGCATTGTTACTATCATTCTTCTTCATGTGTTTTCTCTAACGTCTGTGACTGTTTTCCTGGGTATTTTATCACTTATATATAAATAGGGACAGTTGGGCATCCCTGATGATGCCGAGCTGCATTTTACAGACCAGGAGCTTGTTGGTTTGAGATCCAGTCTGTGTTGAATTTGCTGCTCCCGGCCAGGACTGCACAGTCCTCAGGGTTAGAGAGGGGGAAATCAGCCAATCTGCTATTGTTATTGACCGAGCTACAAAATCCAACAGTGGTGGCAGACATTTTAAGTATATTCCAGAATATTTACTTGTGTCCTGCATCATAACATAGTTTTTAGAAGAATCTACTAATAAATGCAATTCATTTTATATCCTTTTAATCTTGTGATTTTCACTCCTGTTTCTTTTCCGCTCTGACATAGGTCTCCATTTTAATCCCAGAATGTGGGTTGCTTCCTCCGGGAGTCGATGCCTTAACCAGAGGTTTAGGAGACTATTATCTGGTGAAGACATTACCGGTTTATGAAATGATTGAGTTTGAGTTCATCAACACGTTTGTTAAGAAAGGTAATAATTACAATAATAATAACAATCAATAATAACATAAAAATAATGATAATAATAACAATAATTATTACTAACAATCTATTATTGTAGCTCAGTGGTTAGAACATTCGCCTCACAAGCGAGAGACGTGGGTTCAATTCCTGGCAGAGCGAAACCTTGGGCAAGTTTCCTTACTCCACACGCCTAATAATCCCTCAAGAAAAAGAAACAATAAATTGGTCACTTCATCCATGACTGTTTGTGGGTCATCCTCTGCTGCATTTCGCGCACAAAAATGCAGTCAATTCACTTTACAGTATATTCTGTGAAGCTTTTTGAGAAGTCGTGAAAACGCTATATCAAATTCAAGGATTATTATTATTACTATGTAAATAATATTTACATCAGCACCAGAAATATTAGACCACATATTGTCATCATGTCCAGCCCCAGGACAATCCAAGGTCTGATTCAACATAACAATGCAGCTAAATATATTCACTGGATAACTTGTAAACACTGATATTGGTGTAAAGACTAACTTGCATGAACATCAACCAGCAAAAGTGACACAGAAAAATAATATCACAATAATCTGGGACTCACAAGTATGTACAGATAGAACAGTAATCTGTAACAAACCAGATATTATCATAAATAGCCGAATGGATTGTACATAAAGTATTATTGATGTGTCTATCCCAAGTGATTACAACATGCAAAATAAGGAACTAGAGAAGATCAGGAAATATAACTATCTACAAATTGAATCCGGACATATATGGCAGTGTAAAGCATAATTCCTACGATCATCGGTGCAACTGGGACTGTTAAGACTATTCAGAAATGGCTTGACAAAATACCTGGTGAACAAAATATTAATCTCCTGCAAAAAGTAGCTATTTTAGGAATTTTAAACATACTAAGAAAACTAACATCCATTCATATATAACAGCCAGTATCATTGATCTGACTGATCTATCATTAAAAACATTTAGAAATTTTCACATTCCCTCACCTCGCCCGCCCCACCATTGGCTGGCGGGCCTTCAGCCACTCTGCCTCATACTCTGGAACTCCATCCCGCAGTCCCTCTGCCTCGCCCCCTCCCAGACCTTCCTCTTCAACCGTGCCTTAGGTCACCCTCCTTCCCCCCCCTGCCCTCCACCCTCCCCGATCCCGACCCCCAGCTCGGATCCGAAACGCTGATTGTCCAGCGCCTTGGGACGTCCTCCCATCGTGAAACTAAAACTAATACAAATGTAATTTTGTTGTTGTTTTAAACTGTAATAACAACAATGACAATAATCCTTGCATTTGGGATGGCGCCTTTCACATCAGGAGAAAGTTCCAAAGCGCTTCACAGGATATAGTCTAAGATGGAGTGACTGTATTTTGTGGATGAATGTGGCGGCCAAATTTGTGCACAGCAATGTCCTACAAACTCCCATGGAGTTGACCAATTTTATTTGTAGGATTATTGGCCAGGACACCAGTAGAAACTCCCTTAGCTTTCTGAATACTGCCATAGGATCTTTAACGCTCATTTGAACTGGCTGACAAAACCTCGGTTTACCATCTTATCTGAAGATGACATCTCAAACAGTGCAGCACAGTGCTGGAGTGTCAGCTTAGATGATATGGGGTTCAACATGGAGTTTGAACCCACAAACTTCTGACTGAGAGGTGAGATGCTCCCACTGAGTCAACCTTACACACAAAACCCCACTGATTGTACGCACAATGATTATTCCTTTACACTTAGCCATTATCGACAATATCTTTCTTAGTTGTAAATATCCAATGTGGTGAGTTTTGCAAACATTTCATGTTTTCAGGGGGAATTTACGCACTCTCCTACAACACCAGAATAGACCAGAACAACACAATAGCTCTACTGCCGACAGGTAAGTAAATGTCTTCATTCTTTCTCATCATTTAAGAGGATGTACCAACTTCCTCCCTTTCCCTCTCACTTCTCTATAACTAATAGTTGATGTTCATTGAGTTTATAATATTACTGGGGCCAAATTGCAATATTCCTTCCTATTCCTTAAACCAAATCATGATCTATCCACTGATTGCAAATTCCAATCCAACATGTGATTTTGGCACAGTAGTTTGATCTGAAGTTTATTTTCAAAACTGTTGACTGCCATCTTCGATCTCATCGTCTGATAGTGAACCCAGAATACTCTTTATTGGTGATGAGAAACTAAGTGAAAAATAATCCTCTGAGGATTGAAATTAAAATATCAATATAGTCGCTGTTACAGGACTGTTGCATTTTCACAGGAAAGTTAATTTTATCCGTTGACAAGGATACGTATGAAGAGCTTGGGCTGGAAGGACGACCCTCGCAGTATTCACACAGGAAGACGATGAGACACAGTAGGTACAAACCATTCATTTCGTTTACACCCTCCCAGAGCACTGAATCATCCACATTCACAGGTGCTCCACAGCTGACTGATTGTTGGGCTTTTGCTTCCGTTTCCTTTGTCTTCCTTTTAGTTAGATTTGAATGGATGTGGAGAGAAAAACCTCCAGTGGATTTAAAGGGAATGTGGCAGTTTCAAATGTTGGGACTGTGCTGTCAGCTTATCTCAGTTGGGGGCACAATTATTGGCGTTCATGCACACACACTTTCTAGTGGAGGCTGAACAGCAATCAGACCGGCGGCAGGCACCCCGGGTTAGGGACGGGAAGGTAGGTTGCCAGGACTCTTGCTCCTGACCACTAACTAAAGACCCCACTGGAAGATCACTGTCAAGGTTATCACAAGAATAACTGCCACTTGCGTGAGGTCCAGCTGCTGCGTAGTGCCCTTGAAACACTGAGATGATGCTACCTGCATGAAGGGCACTGTATAAATTCAAGTTGTTGTTGTTGAAGCTGTACTTTAAGGGGAAAAAAGAGTTGAACATCTTGAGGAGGGGAGAGAATTGTCAGAAGAAAAATAAAGCAGTTTTTCCTTCTTTCGGATTTTTTCTGCCTGTGTTCACATATTCTACACTAACATAACCGTGTAGTTATATTTGTCGAAAGTTGTGGGTGAAGAGAAAAGAATCCCCTCGTGAAATGAATATGTTCCTTTCCTCCCCTCAGCCTTCATACAAGTCAGAACTATTTAGAAATATTAAGAGGAGACATTTTTCAAATAGATTGATTTGGGTTGTTCAGTGTGTGGATTTACTCTCTTTACTTTGGAGAATGCTTAACGGTTTTTGGACCTGAAGTCTGAGTACTTGGAGGAGATAAGGAAGTGCCTTTATGGCAGGAGTGGAAGGAGTAATCTGATTTTGTGTACGGTTTGTTGCCACGGGTTTGGTACGTGAGCAAGTGCAGCAAGCGCTCTTGAAAAGATTTAGATAAAATTGGTCACTCACTTCATAGCTGATCGTGAGATTTTGCAATGCACAAGTTAGCTGCTCCCTTCAAAATACGCAATCACTATACCTTGCAGTAACTTGAGATGTCAATTTGAGATGTCACCCTGATGTAAAAGGTGCTTTATCAAATGCAAAGATTATTATGACTATTATTATTATAATTGTTGACTTGTGATGCCAGCATCTGAGCACTGAACATGCTTTCCCTGTGCTGCTGATACTTGACTGGAAACATGTACTGGGAGATCCTGCAGGAGATCCACTCCTTGTTCAAAATTGAAAAGTACCTGTTAATATTAACTTTGGGCAAAAAAAACTCTGAATGTGGCGCTGCACACTGACCTGATGTGGTGATTTGGAAGATGACTGTTAGGTTGTTCAGAATTTTCACAGTTAAATATTGACTTTTATAACTTCAACAACTCTAGTACCTCTCTTTCTCCCCCTGTTCCACCCCTGCCACACTCAAACACTCTTCAAGGTCTGACTTGTGCTGGAATCTAGCTCTGAGGTAGCTAACCCATGTGGCTCTTCATGTGTGAGACTAAACACCAAGAATAGGCTGGGTAGTCACCCATGTAGGCGAGCACGAACCCACTGCGGTCCTCACTCAATTTTTTGGCAGGAATCAATAATAATAGCATTAGGAGCTGGAACCTTAGCTGATCATTCTTTCTTCTCCAGTTCCCTTGTTAAATGTCTCAATTCACTCGGCCTCAATAGCTACACCTGGTAACATGATTGAGATTCTAAGAAAACTTTGTAAAATAATTTCTTCCAACCCCTTTTTTGCTTCTAATAATAATCCTGTGTGCATGGGCCTTGTTTCTGTCTGTTTGCTATTGGAGCCTGTTATTTTCATTCTCTGCAAATCATCCTGGAATTCACTTCTGGGGTTCCTAACATCATTCTGTATATTTTGCAGTTATTACTGTTGACCTGAGTGATGCCAATTTTGTTCCTGGTAAAAAGAGATACAACCGAGTAATGTGGGCACTGAAGGAGAAAAAGCCTCTAACATTTGACTTTCTGATGGCCTGGCAGCCCACAGGTAAGAGGATTCATCAGCAGAGATGGAGCAGAGATTCACACAGGCTTCAATGCTTGTCAATTCAGCACATTACTTTTTACTTTTGAACAATGTAGAACTTAAGTTCAAAGAATGATGCTTACTGTCAGTCAGTAAAATCTTCCTATTTTAGCAAAAGAAGAGATTTAAGAGGTACAATAGGAAACTATGAGTTGTATTTATCAAACATTATGACAGGCCAGGTGGAGCACAATGATCTTTCCTGACCATGTATATTTTTATGCTGGAGCTGGAAAGTTCTGGGTTGAAATCCAGTTCACTTAGCCCTTGTTCTCTTTGAGTTTATTTTATAAAAGGTCCTAGAAATATCCTTGTGGGGTGAGGGGCAGTAACCAAGGTCTCACTAGGTTGACACGGCTCCTGGAGATACCCATACAGATATGGAGTGGTTCTCCAGGCAGGTCTGGAGATGGAGACATGTACCTGATCCTACCAGCAAATACTAACCATGGGTGGTCCTAACTGCACAAGTCATTCTGTGCATGTGGGGCATTAATTGGCAGGTTTGAAATTTGATTTGGGGATGTGGTGGAAAGTGATACCTTCAAAGGTTTTTGAAACATGATTGTGTGACATCTTAAGACAAATTCAGTGGCTTCTTTTTATGCTAATAGGTGAAATGGACATTATGGCTGCTTATGGACTGAAAAGTCGTTCCCACAGTATCCTGTGTTTTATATATACAAGTTAATTTGAAGAAATGTGATTCTAATCACATTTATGTTTTATTTCTTTAAGATCCAGATGGAGAAGGTGTCAATTTGCAGTCTTATTTCATGAAGTACCAGTGCAAGGTTCATCGGCCAACAGTGTCTGTCAGGGTAGTAAAGGACACTGATTGTCCTGTTCTGCTGAGTAATGAAATGGAAGGGAAGTTGGGGGAATCCTGTGGGTCTGAGGAGTTGTTTGACTGGCTCGGTGGTATCTTCAGCCACGTGAATTGGTGAGTTTAGTGAATGAACCGGCCTGTATTCTCTAAAGACCATCATAACGCTCCCCTAGGTTCACAGTGTTCCAGATGGGGCTTAACCAGTCAGAAATAATTTGTATTTTTGACAGCACCTCATCACGTTAAAATGTATTAAAGGGTTTTACATTAATTCTGTCATGGATAGTTTATAGGAAGAAGAATCTGTAATGTGTAAATATAGTGACAATGCAGTACTCCTCCACTACTGTACCCAAGTGTCAGCTTTTGAGCTCAGAGTCCTGACATAGGGCTCGAACATGAACCAACAAGCTTCTGGCCCGGAGCTAGGCTGGTGTTTTCTAGACTAACATTATCCTTTTGGATTTGCAGTCTGCAACCTGGGTACCTTGTTTGACTTTTTCACCACAGCTGCACGCCGCAATGTCAACGGCTGAGCAAGCAGTGGGAATCAAAAGATATACTTCAGTGTCATGCAGAGCAAGATCTCAAATGACTGACAGACACTGCCTAATATTGACCAATACATGTCACTGACACAGTGAATTAAGAGCAAAGTTCTTTCTTCTTCCCCCTCCCCCATTTCCTCTCTCTCCTGGGTCCAAGGAGAGGGGGCTGGGTTGACAACAGTTCTTCTGGGCTTGGGGGAGGGGGGATGTAAGTGGAGCTGAAATGAGCACCGCAAGTCTACATACTTGGGTGGGTTGACTTGTCCTCCCCCCTGTGAGCCAAAGCCCTAATGGATAAGCTACAAAAGTACTGTGCTTACCATCTTAGACATGACTGAAATGAGGTCAGTTTTTGGATTTAAAGTTCAGTATTTTTACTCACCAACAGCAAAAACCAAGCAGACAGCTTCCTCTCGACCTACTGCTCGCCTGAGCCTAACACAGTCCTGGAAAAGGCATGTCTCTGTACCGTCACTGGCTTCATCCTCCCTCAAAGAATAAACCAGCTACTGGAACAGCTCCGGTAAGTGCCCGATTCAATCTCTGGTGTGTGCAGAGCTTACTGGTGTGAGGGCATTGCAGCTGACTTCAGTGATCCCCAACTGAGGGCAATATCTAGATCCTGCTGTTGTGTGCAGATGTCCAGTGAGGACAGGTTCAGGCTCGGCTGTGATGTTCCCCCATGATTGAATTAGAAGTCGATACTCACTGTCTAGGGGACAATGTTTATACATGAAGAATATCCACTGGAGGAAGGTTGAAGAGGGTTTCTGTCAATGTGAACTCGTAACCCCAGCAACGGGTTAAAAAAGGAGGAAAGTGGAAAGGGCCAAAAGATGTGAGCATTGGGTAATCAAGTAAATCAGACAACTTTAGCAAAAATAATCATTGCATTTGTAACAGCCCTGTAATGTCGAAACATCTCGAAGATCTTCACTGGTAATTGGTCAGTAATGGCTGTGTATTTATAATGCGGCAGCCAGTTTGTGCACAACATGTTCCCACAGTCAGCTGTGAATTCAGGCTTAATCATCCAGTGATTTCTATTAATATTTATTGCTAATGTTTGTGCAGGGTGTTTTATGTGGGTCTTATTAGTGCTGTATTTAAGCTTCGTGCTCTTTATAATCACATGAGGTGTCTCGCTCTAGTTTTCTGTTGGTGATTAAATGTGTTATTTATGGGTTGGGGGTGGGTTGAGGGGTTTTTGCTTGAACAATCCAAATAGCCCTGCTACAAAAGCACTGCTTTCCAATCCATCAGGAAGCTTGGATTCTTATCCACTGCCTGATTGATGGGAATGTGTATGAAATTACACACACAGCACGATGCCCTATCAGGCTAATCGTCCTAGAACGGTTGAGTGCAAAATAAATGGTTTTGAAGTGGCTGGATTATTTACTTGAAACTGAGCATTCAGATATGTCTGTTAATGAAGATGCACTACTTGTGTAAGGGGGTTAAAGTGGACATTTATAAAATACAATCAAAATGAGATTTTGAGTCATTGCTGTTCAGGCTGTCTGCACAAGGGTCCCACAGACACGCAAGCTTGTTTTATGGGCTTATATGCGAGTCTCTATCAGTGCAGCAACCTGTTAGACAGCTGAGACTGTGCTGATCCTGGCTTAAGAAATAATGGCGGGGACGCCATTTTCTTGGGGCATTTGTGCGAAATGTACTCCTGTAGAATATATTAAGGGGAGAGAGAAGGAAAACATTCTATCAGATATTTTTAGCTTGTATTGAGGACAGTGCAGTTTGTGGTCATTGTTTGGACAGATTAAAGTTATTTGGAGAGACTTGCAATGTTGGGACTATTTGGTGGAGCAGAGAAAGTTAATGGTTTTTTTCTAAATTCTGAATGGTTTTGACAGTTTGAATAAAGAGAGTATTTTCACTGATCAGAGTCAGTAATAGGATATACATTGAGGCTCATCACTGGAGGAAGAAAGGGATACATTTGGAATTTCTTTTACCATTGAGAGAATGTGCAATGCTTTATCCAAAATGCCTGTTGAAGGCAAGTCCATAACAGCACTTAAATGCAAATTGGATAAATACATGAAGTGAAATAATTAAAGGGTAATATTTTTCCTTTAATAGCAGGGAAAGGGGATAGGAGCAAAAAGCTTTAGTGTAGATGGGCCAAATAGCTTGTGTTTCGGTTTTGTCTGACCCCATTGTGTGAAGAGGCCCGGGGCAATAATAATAATAACTACACCAAAGTATGTTCATATTGCGCCTTTCACATCAGGAGGACGTTCCAATCCAGTTACCATCAAAATGTGTTGTATCGCATGTTCAGTGAGCAAAGAAAAAAATTAAAAAATCTCACCCCTAATGTACGTGTCTTTAAACTAGGCTTTTTAAAAAATATATGTTTTTTTTAATGCTCCTTTAGGGGGTGGAAGATCAGTGCCGGGACATTTATTTACTTTTTGAATTCCTCAAGTGGGTTAGATACACAAGTGAAAAGTGCTACAAATGACTCCTGTCCCATAAGTGCGCTGTTGTGATGTTGCTGTTTCCTGCACTGTCTGTCTATGTCTCCCAATGTAACCTGACCATGTGGTGCTGATTTTTGATTGGGGGGGTGGGGGGGGGGCGGGCGAGTGGGTCGACGGCTCAACCTTTTTGTGGGACTCTTGAAGCCAACAAAAGAAGGAGTCTTTCATTCTGCTGCCGAAGCCCCAGTGAATAAGGTGGTCCTAGCTGGAAAAGTAGCAGTCAGCAAGCTGTGCAATGTTAGCTGTCAAACTCCATTAGTACCCCAATATGCATTCAGTTTTCTGCAAGCCTTGGCTCGTACCTAACCTCTTCAGGATTTGTTAAGCAGTGTGGGTCCCTCTGGGAAGAGAATGCAAATTATCCATCAGACAAGTAGAAATTTTCATACATTTGCCATACACTGTGGAGTCCTGTTGTGTAGTGGTTAACATGTTCGCCTCACAAGTGAGAGGACCTGGGTTTGATTATAATTGTAATTGACTAACTTCAGTGCACTGCTGGCTAGGATCCATTTCTGTGCTAAGCTCACTGTTGCTTGCTACATTCAGTATCTGATCACTGGTGACATTTATTTGTGGATGCAATATTTATATGGAGCTCAGTGTTTTTTTCCCCGCTTCTGTATACTCCTGGGGTCTTATGTATGAAAGTTTAGAAACACTGAAAAATAATTGCTTGTGACCACCTGAATCTTTGTCAATGCAGCTCTTGATTCCACCTGTAGGAATGTAAGGAGTCCAACCTTATCTCACAAGTTAGAGGTGGGATTAAACTTTGCAAAGGCTTGGGATGAACTATCACGTTTATGTGCTGCCGCGATCCAACAGAGGAAAGAAAGCGGACTCCAGCCTTTTGAGTTCCTTCATATTTATTTAATATCTAAGAAGTACAAGAACAACCTGGCAACTTCACTCAGTCTTACGACTTGTACAGCTATTATACAGTTAAACCAACATGTGAATGTTTTGGTGAGGAAGAAACCAGTGCAAAGAGCAGGTTGAGTTTATTCCAACTCTGAAAATTCAAGGGCTCGATAGCTGCGGGCGCCCCCTGCTGGATAAGCTGATGTACGACCATATCAATCCCATTAATTAGTAAGGATATGACCATAAACAGAGTGATTGTGTTCACTATTTGCTTTTGATGCTGAGGTGTTGATGCTGCCTCAAAAGTAACTGTACAGAAGTCTGGTTTGGGTGATTAGCATTCCTTTAAATTAAGAAGCAGACCTGAAATAGCTTCCTCTTATTCTTTGAAACCAGTTATTTAACCCACAGTAATAAATAGAGCACTTATGTTTTAGTCGAGTTGGAGGAGTACTGTAGTGTGTAATGGTCCATAAACATTGGCAGTTACATGGTGTTCTCTATAATGTGACAGATACTGACTGCAGTTATGACTTGTCAAGGTGAATTGCCTCCATTAGGTACAAATTGTTTCAATGTGTTTCTTACTCACCAAGCTTTTCCCTGTGACTATTTTCCCTTCAGTGTTTTGATATATTTTCTGCCCGATTCTGCTACCTTGAACTATCACTAATTATTTTGATTTATTTTCCAGACATTATTTTGATGAGCCCAAGTTGACCCAGTGGGTTACTATGACTGTACATGGCTTTGCAGATAGCCCAGTTTCATGGGGAGAATGTGAACATGGATACCACAAGGGAGGAGAGAACCTCTACAATTTTGTTGTATTTAATAACCAGGACTATTGGCTGCAAATGGCGGTGGGAACAAACAGTGGCTGCCCTCCTTAGTATTTTAAGTTCAATGTAGTTTTGGGTGTGTTGAGAATTTAAGAACTGCAAAACCTCAATAAAAGTCTATTCACCAGCACGTATGTTGCAACATCAGATTTATAAAAGTTACTTGAAAACCAAGCTTACAGAGGTTATTACCCTTAGCAGTTAGGGAATGATTCATGGAAACAACTATCCCAGATTGGGAGCAGTCTTGTTGGATCATTTTGTTATTTTCTTTCTCATTCCTCATCCATCACTATGGAACAATCAAGCAGCTTGTTCATGGATTTTTGGCAGTGGGGTTTAATTCACAGGCTATGTTGACCACGGGTAAAGAAATGTTTGGTATGGAGGGCATTAAATGTAAATAAAATCAAATAATAATAATACTTGCATTTGATATAATAATAACACTAATAATAATAATCCTTGCATTTGATATAGCGCTTTTCACGTCTATGAGACATATCAAAGTGCTTCACAGAAACTACTGTAAACAGGCAGTGTTTGGAAAGCAACAACACATTTACTACTAGTCTCAGAATGTTTTTTGGGTATTCAGATAGCCACATTTTAATCACGTATATTGAGGTCCTCTTATCTGGGCTTCCTCAATCCCAATTGCTCTACTTACCTTCAATGCCCTCCTTACCAAACATTTCTTTACACATGGTCAACATCATTAACAACAAGACACCCCCAAGAAAATACCTACGGCTGGATATTCTGCCCAGTCTCGTGTGGTTTTCTGTCCACAGCTCCCAAATCAGCTCTTAGCTAATTGGTACCATACTGTAGGAGATATGTTAATAGCCACTTCAAAATGTGAGGCTCTATTCTATTAAAATCAAGTGCTTTGAGATGTTCTCACAACCTGAAAGGAGCTATATAAATGTAAATTGTATTATGATAATCCTTGCATTTGGTACAATACCCCAAATCTCTGTAACTCAATCCCTCCAAATCACACTTGAAGACTTTCCACTGTCACTCCCCCCCACCCCCTTCCAGCTTGGCGTCAAACCATACCGCTGTTAAGTAGTCTGAGACACAATCAATGTGAAGGTGCTGTAAGTTGTTGTGCCTTTTGCATCAGGAGGATGTCCCAAAGCGCTTCACTGGATATACTATAAAATGGGGTGACTATTTTGTGGATGAATGAGTCAGCCGGTTTGTGTATGGCAATGTCCCACAAACAGCCATGGAGTGAATGACCAATTTCATTCAGGGGAATTGGCCAGGAGTTATGGGATCTTTAATGACCACCAGAACAGGCAGAGAGGGCTTTGGTTTAATATCTCATCTGAAGGATAACACCTCTAACAATGCAGCACACGCCCGGAGTGTCAACTATATGAGTTCCAAATCCTAACCAACAACCTTCTGACTCGCTTGGTTCAAGTCCCTCTTGAGTCCTGTAGCTCAATGGTTAGAGCACTCGCTTTGCAAGCGAGAGACCTGAGTTCAAATTCCAGGCAGAGGGCGAAACCTTGGGCAAGTTTCCTTACTCCACACAGAGCCTAATAATAATCCCTCCAAAACCATAAACAATAATAAATTGGTCATTTTCAAACTGCGATTGTTTGTGGGACATTGCTGTGCGCAATTGGCTGCCGTGTTCACCCACAAATATACAGTCAATTCACTTTACAGTGTGTTCTGTGAAGCGCTTTGGGACGTCCTCCCGACGTGAAAAGCGCTACATCAAATGCAAGGATTATTATTATTATTAACCAACCGCCATCACTTCACCTCCAGAAACGTTTTTTCCTCCATGCCCCGCCTGGTCACCTGCGGCATATCCCAAAGCCATCCATGGCCCCTTTTCCTTAGTTACACCCTCCCTCTCGGCGATGTTATCCGCAGACGCGGGATCAACTTCTAAATGTATGCGGATGACACACAAATCTACTCCTCCAGTTCTGACTCCAGGTCCGCCGATGTTCTGTCAGCTTGCTTGTCAGACATCAAGCCTTAGATGAGTGCAAATTCCTGCAGTTATATCTTGACAAGACAGAAACCATTCTCCTCGACTCCCGTCGATGTCTTCTTTCCTGCGGTTCTGACCTCCTCAACCTCTCTGGCTTATCCCTAAGAGTTACTGAACCTATGTCTAACCGAGGCGTCAAGTTCGCTCCCCAGCCACCCTTTCTACCCCACATCTGGTCCCTGACCAGGACCACCTTGCTTACCTCCAGTCGTGTCTCACATGTCCGCCCCGCCCCGCTCCACATTCGCCGGCTGTGCTCTCAGCCATAACCCCCGAAAACTTTGGAACTTGCCCTCAATCCCTCGGCCTTTTGAGATCATGCCTTTAACTCTGCGTAGTCACCTTTCCCTTTCCCCATCGTGGCGTCAGGCTCTGCCACTTTTAAGCGCTCCCAAGACTCTACCCTGTGCGAAGGGTGCTATATAAATCCCAAGTTGTTGTACTATGGTTTGTTTCTATAGATTCTTGTACATGCTGTTTCAAGTCGTCATTGTTTATGGGTGAGGCCTGGCACCAGTTGTCACCAGGCAGAAAGTGAGGCCTCACAAGCCATGTGCAGTGCTTCCCCCAGTCAATGTTCACCTTCCAGCCTGGGTCACTAGATAGCGATCAAGAATAGGAAACCTTACCTCATTTTGTCCTCTAATCCATGACACAACAGATTACAGAACAGGATTTGAACCTGCAATTTTCTGTTGTGTAGAATAATCCTTGCTTTGATAAACCTTTTGTGGCAGGAGAATATCTCAAAGCACTTCACAGAATTTGTTCAAGAGTAATTTGTAGTGTAGGTATTTGAAGGATAGGGCCTTGAAGGGATATGGGGTAAAGCAGGGCGGTGGAATTAAACACCTTGCTCTTAGAGCTGGTGCAGACTCCATAAGCTAAGTGGCTTCCTTTATGCTGTAAATTTCTACGATTCTGACCAGCCAATTTTCAGAAAGTAAATTCCCACAAGCAGCCTTGAAGTGAATGACCATTCTTATCGGGGGGGAGGGGAGGAGGCGGAGATTGTTGGCCAGGATATCAGGACTGTGAGTCTAGACGAAGTTCAAAGTCCTGATGTGGGAATTGAACCCACAAGCTTTGGACTCGAGGCAAGATTGCTGCCAAATGATGCAGCTGACGTCATCTAAATTGGTTTATTTAACTAAAAAAATATTTGTGTAAGCTTAAGAGATTCTCAGATGTCCACTGACAGAATGGGTAATTATATAATGAAGTAATCTTGGCTCATTTGGAAGCACTCTTATCTTTGAGTCAGAAGAAGTTGACACTCGAATGCGGTGCCGGGACGTGATGCATTACTGGAGGTGCCGTCTTTCAGATGAGGCATTAAACTAAGGGCCTGTCTGCCTGTTCAGGTGGACATTAAAGATCCTTGGCCAATTGGCTGCCCTATTTCGAAACAAATACACTGTCACTACCCTTCACAATAAAAACCTGTAAAGTACTTTGACACTTCGATAATGTGAAACACAAGGATTATTATAAGGATTTTTTTGCCCACAAAATACAGTCATTCCACTTTACCCTATGAAGTGTTTTGAGACATCTCGATGATGTGATAAGATGCTATGTCAAATGCAAGGATTATTATTAATTCAATCAGGCCAGCAAGAACATGAAGAGTAAATGGACACAATACTATTATCTGACTACATATGTTTTGAGTATGAAATATTAGTTTTATTTACCCAGGTCTTTTCACAGCTCAATCTTTAATTATTAATCTATAAAACTTTACAGATTGTACAGTTTATAATATAGTTTAAACTAATGAACAAAAGTAGGTCCCACAGATGCAAAAATACTGTACCAATCCAAATAAAAGGCAGATTTACACATTGTACAGCTCTCCACCGGCAAGAGGAGGTGATCATTTCTAAGTACAAACAAATAAACTGTACAAAAATAAGATTTAATTTCCATTCTTCATACATTCAGAAAGATTGCAAATGCAGATATCTATATTCATTCAGATATCTGCAAACAGGAATTAGTAACCATTCCTAAAAGGAATGAGCATTTTATTTACAAGGGGTACTGTTAAGAACACCATATAGTGTATCATAAAATAAGTTGACACAAGAAACCATCTAGTTTTAAGGTAGTTTTTGGAAGGAGTTTTATATTGTATAGTGTGCCAATAGAAAATTTAACTTATTAAATTAAAGAAACCCTTCTAAAGTGGTCTAAAAATCATACATAGTTATGAATACATAAAGCAGTTTTTGGTGTAATATATCAATTTTAACCTGCAAAGAAAACACAAGCTCTTTCTATAATTTAACGCTTTCACCCAGAAACAGAAGTATACATCTGCAGTTGATTAAAAATAAAGAAAAAAATCCCTACACTTTAAAACACTACAACTAATTCTTAACTTATGCATTTCTTTAATATATAAGATTCACAAAGAATCACTAATACTGCAAGGCAAGTTTTTCTCTCTCAAAGAGCCAGTGGTTCTTCATGCTTACTGGGTAACAATATACTAACATGTCTGAAAGTGGGTCAAACACTTAAAACACACCTCCTGAGCACATTTAACATGTACATATAGATAGACTCTTCAAAAGGATATGTGTAGCTTTAAAGGTTTATGTTAGATACTGGGTCCACTGTCAGAAATCGAAGACTTTTTGATCTTTTCTTTGAGGTATGTAAAATCCTCTCCCCCCAAACCACATTCTTCTGACCTTTCAGTTTTTTATATATAAAATTAAACCAGCCAACTGATCTCTGGCAGCGAGAAGGTGGCTGTTTTTTTTTTACCCGTTTTTTTCCTCTCCTTCCATCTTTTCAAGCTGAGTGTTTTTCCAGTCTGCCCTGTCACAAACAATACATAATAAACATCTGGATTTGGAAAGCACAGTACGGTACAGTGCAGTAATAGCAAAGGACAAAAAGCGACTGGATGAGCAGAAACTGAAACGTTTGGTAGTGCAGTTCCAATCATTATCGGCTAAGTTTGCTTCCGGTCTTTCTGAATGTTGAAAATACAGTACTTGATGAGATCTTCGGAACAACTTTTTCAGTCTTTGCTCTTGAGCAGATGAGACCTGCTTTTGTTTTCTAGATTTTCCTCCATCCCCCCTTATTTTTAAGTCAGGGCATTTGTTAAGTCAACAGGGACGAAGTGATCAAGAAATAATCTTCCAGTGACAAAGCACATACTCAGAATTCATCGATTTTCTTCTGTAGATATTTCAGCATCGAGTCCATCCCCTGAGAAGAGCTCCAGATTTTCCTCAGAACATCACACTCCTTTTCATTTGTTTGCTCCAAATCACCCCTCATTGCATTTCTAACAAGAGCTTTGGATTCTTCAAGTACCTGTACAATGCAAAAAGAGATTCTATTCAGGACTAAAGTAGCATTTTATCAGAGGCACAGAGGACTCGGGTACACACATACCACTCAATAGCACTGAAGACTCGGCCCGAGTTAAAGTCTCTTGATTACTAAGATATCAGACCAGTCACTGGGGACAGGGAATCCTCCCACTCAACTCCTGTTAACGCTGCAAGACAATGCTGTAACAGGTAGGGCTGTCCTAGCTGGACAAGCAGCAGGAAAACTTGCCAGACAAGTACACTGCAAGTCAGCCTCAAATATGAAGCAAAGTTTGAAGTCCATAACTTAAAAGTGACACTCAGACAGCGAATCATGAAATGCTTAATAGGTTGATGCCTCGATTCCCAACCCAAAAAGCTGAAAATTCATCAAACATTAGCTTTGATTTCAAATTTAAGTCAGTTCTTGAGTGAGCTGCTGGATGAAGTATCATATGTAAGTATGATATTCCATTTTGGGTGTACCCTGGTCAAAAGGAAATGCAAATTGTGTAGTGACCTGCAAGGTTCCCAAGAAAATTTGAGGAAAAAACAGGGCAATTTGGTTCGGGTGGATTTGATTTGGGTGCATTTCATTGAAAGCACCAAACTGAATTTCTAATTACTTCATAGAATAAAGTTTTAATATTCCTGTATTTATGGTACAACAGCACAATGTTTTTGTAAATTATTCTGCTTTTCCTTTCATTAAAATCAGGCTGCTGCTGCACTGGGGTTCCTCTCATACACGCTTGGGGTGCATGGTTTTGAAACAGTGGGAAACTTCTGATCTCCGAGTACAGGGGATTATTATTAATGGAAAAGCAATCAGGTGTAGCATTATCAATACTGTCGTTGATAAAAGTTGAATATTATATGCATCAGCAATCCTTTTAAAAATAACAATCCTTGTACTTATAACGACAATCCTTGTATTTATAATAATAACAATAATAATCCTTGCAGTTGATATAGCACTTATCACATCATTGAGTCACCTCAAAGCACTTCACAGAATATATTGTAAAGTAAATTGACTCTGTGGGCTTAATTGCACACAGCTGTATTTCACAAACAGTCATGGATTGAGTGACAAAATTTATTTGGGGGTGGGGGGAGGTGAATTACATGTCAGGAAAGCGATCTGCCAATCAACTTAACAACCGGTTCCTACTTACTGCCAAGTAAACAGGTGTGTGGAGTAAGGAAGCTTGTCTAAGGTATTGCCCCGCCTCGGGAATTGAACCCAGGCTCTCTCGCATCCAAGGTAAGTACACTATCCACTACACTATGGAACTGCATGCTGTTTCATATAGTGCCTTTCACATTGAATACTCAAAGCACTTCACAGGATTTACTGTAATGTGCAGTGACTATTTTGTAGGTAAACTAACTACAATATGCATACTTAATAAATGCATAGTACCATACTTTGTATTTTAGATTAACATTTTAAAAGGGAAAGTATAAAATATATAATCCTTACAAATGAAATTTTGACCCACCACAAATTCTATTTTGAAATACTGCACTTTACTGTGGATTCCTAAAGATGGGCACATTGTGGAGTAAGTGAACATTATAGATTCTGACTTACAAGGGAATTGCACATGACCAGTTCCTTAATTCGGACCATAACCTCCTGACTGAATGTTCCAGGCCAGAAAACCTGCGACACCAATCCTTTTGCACATGCTTCCTGTGCAGTCAACTTTCGTCCACTGAAGAGCATTTCATTTGCCTGCAAGACATACAAGACTCCACTTAGCACGCGCTACCCAAGAGAAAACACAAAAAGTATTGCTTTACTATTAATATCCAAGGTTTTCCACTTTGTTTTAACTTCATGGGAGCTTCTCATCATCTACATTAAATTATGTGGTTCAATAATTCAACCCATGAAGATAATCTGAAGGGTTCTTCTCCTTCTCATTGGAAAAGTTGTCCCCTTTAGTAACTTAGTTTTTTTATCTTCCACTGAGCTTTTGTGATCCTTGTATGTGACAGATAGATACACAATTGAAACCTTCCCCAAAATGTGCATTAGTTCACTCACATCAAAAAAGCATTCTCCTCCTATATTGCATGCAATTTTCCATTTCATTGTGGTCACCTATAGGCACTATTGAGAGATGATTTTTAAACTACAACTCTAGATTGGATTTGGACCGTGGTGCCAGAATTTCCCATCTGTGCTGAGTAAGCTGATCTCAACTGGGGCAGCGGTAGAATGCTACAATTGATACGATTTCCAATTACTGATAAATGATGTATGTCAAATGTGATGATGGTAATTCCCTCCAGAAATGAACTCACTGTGCAAGCACACACAATGTGAGGTCCCAAAGCAGTGATGGCACTTGTGAGCTATGTCCTAGCAAATGGCAACACCTTTCAGAAAGGAGAATGGAGATATCACCAACCCCCACCCACACACACAGAAATGTCTAAACAACCTCTGTTGCCCACCATTCAGGGGTTCATTTCCAGTGCCCTGAGCTTCCTATAACGATAACATTCTTTTCCCCCAATTTTTATTTAAACTCTCCTCCAATCTCTTTCAGTGTTAATGCTTCTCTATTTGAGGTCCAGATACCTGCTGTTTTGAATGTGTGTGTGTGTATACAGGAAATGAGATGGGGAGTGGGGGCGTGATAGCAACATAATCAAGCCTTTTTCCCCAATATGTAACACACACACACACACACATATACACGTGCTGAAGGTCCCTGAAAAAATAATCAGAAGCAGAAATATCTAGCTCTAGGGCACTGAGAATAAAATTGTAGTCCCAGTTAAGCTCAGCACTACCCAGGATTCAAACCTACAACTGTTTGCACCTCAGGGAGCTGTCAGCTAATGTGTTCTCTAATGATCAATGACCATTAGTACTAAGATTTTTTTTTACTCTTTGTGTTCCCTCTTGTAAAAGCAATGACAAGCTATGCAGTTTCAGCTAGTTAGACTCCAGCAGTACCACAACACACACTCTGGGGTCCGCAAACCTTGGCTCTTGCCAACCTGTACCTAATATTTTCCGGAATTAGGTAAACAGGATGAGTCCCTCCAGGTTCATTTCATTCCAACAATTTATCTCTGGGATTTCTATGTATAGGTGGATGCATGCAAATCTCAGCTTGGTTTGGATACTCTTAAACACGGTGATGGATTTCTGCATGTGTCATTCACTCGGCTGACAAAAAAAAGTGCTGTTCCTAAATATTAAAAACTGCGATTCCCATTTCAATCCAAGTACAGTCCTTTGTTCTCAACTCTCTGGACACAAAACTCACGGGTGATCGACTTTTTAGTGTGTTTTTACGCTCATCAAGTTTAAAGTTATCATCAATGCTTGGTAATGAACAGTTCTCCAATTTTTGCAGCTAGTGTGGGTCAATATTACAGTATTTCCCAACAGTTTCTCTAGAAAGGTAAACAATCATATTTTGAAAACATTAGGTTTGCTGAAGAAAACACTTATTTATTTTGTAAGATGTAAATATTTATTATTAAGAAATAAAGGCTATTAGGGAATGGGCTCCCACTGGTAACCAGAAATGAGCCACACCTGCACAAAGGAATTATTGCTGGTAAATGGAAATGCATCACACCAGAGCAGAGGTTCTGTGGGTTGGCACATCCCATTTCCACTTATGGGTAACTGTGACTTAATCGTCAAAGATTTTTCTATTCCATTTCAGTAAACCTACTGGAATGCAGAACAAATTATTTAAACTCTGCTCACTATTTTGGGAACATACAAACAGCCAAGTACATCAGGAACCAATGGTGACTTACCGAAGCTAAGCCCATTATTCTGGGAAACATCAACGATGAACACCCATCTGGTGTCTGTCCAAATGTAGTATAGGGAGTCTGAAACCACGCCTTCTCATTTGCCCACACCACATCACAGAGAGGTAATATGGAAGCTCCGAGGCCTATTGCAGGTCCATTTACAGCTACTATGATTGGTTTCTTAAACTGAATAAATGTATTGACAAAACTCCTATAAGAGAAAAAGAAAAAAGTTGCTTTTTTCTATTCTGCATGTGTACGCAAATATTGCTGCTCATTGCCTTTTTGTTCACCTGAACTTCAAGAACCAATGATACACGTATTATATAATAGAAATGTCCATCATTTGTTTTTTTTGCAAAAAAAATCTTTATTCCTTTCCTTTAAACTTGTTTCATGAAACAGGCATTTCCAGAAGATCACATTTAGTACAATTCCATTAATCACATTTAAAATCTAGGCTTTATAACTCATGCATTTTTGTCATTATTCGAATGCCCAGCTCACCAGACACCCACTTTCTTGCTGCACAAGCTGTAGACATTCAGAACTCTGGATCTTGTGTCCTCTCACACATTAGGCTCTGTGAACCTATCACTCAGCTCCACGGACTCCCCACTCCACAGAGAATCAAATTCCAGATTCTCATCTTTCTGTTAAAACGCCTTTGCAGTTTGCCACACCTTATTTCTGTGGCCATCTGCAGCTTGATCGCCCCGTCGCTCCCAATGCTTAGCAAACACCGACTGGCTGGCCAGCCTGCTTCATGTCCCCCACCACTGGAGAAACAGGTGCCCCCACTCTCTGGAACTCCAACCCGGACTCCCTCTACATTGCTTCTCCCTCCCTTTAAAGGTGGTCTTAAGACCTTTCTTGTTGACCGCGCTTTTGGTTTCTCCCCTCCACCCCGCTCGGACAGCCAGCTGATTCTGTGAAGCTCTATGAGACATCCTCCCAACGCTATACAATGGTAAAAGCTTAAATCTGATAAATTCTGAAAGGTTTCCCCAACCCCAATGGACTAATTACAGAACCAAAGTGGTCTTGTTTCACAACACATTGGAAACTTTATAATTAGACCTATAAAGCCAGATTTTAACCATCAATACTTGGGATTTTTAAAAATGGAAATAGTGTAACCCGAATTCTAACATTCTGGGCTCTTTTGGGGATTTGTGGATAAAAAAACATTAATGATCTTTAAATATAATTCATCCCTTGAGTTTTGACAAATATCTTTGTGAATTTTTTTTACAACAAATATTCTCACTGTCTTTCCCTGACTTGAATCAATAGGAAATGTGTACCTGATAGTGTCGGCCATTTTAGTACTTTCCCTTTTCCGGTCGTCTGTTAACCGTCGAATGAAATAAATAAAGTCAAGACCGCAACAAAACACGCTTCCTACAGCGCTCAGCAAAACCAGTTTACTGTCATCAGCTGCTGCTGTGTTCAGAGCACTTTGCATTTCCTTCATAACCTGAAACCAAAGGAATTCAAAAGACAAGAATACAAAACAAATGAATGCAGCAGCTGTAAAAATTATATCTTTAAAATAATTATTTACTATATCTAGCTCGAAACAACTGACACTAATTAGGAGCAATTATTTCTCATTAACCTTACGGAGGTTATCATCCACATAGTGTGGGTAAGGTCATCAAATGGGGGGTGGGCGGGGGGAGAAGAGAAAGAAGAACCCAAACATAGTGAGGCATGTCCATTCCCTTTAAGAAATACAAGTCAGGTAATTTCTTCTTCCCATCTCATATATCAAACGACTGCCACATGGAAAGGTTCGGTTCTTTATAAATAGAATGCAGTGAAAGGACAATACCACCAGTTACAACAATTTGCATTTGTAGAATAATGTCTCAGAGCGCTTTGCAATGGTAGGGCAGTGCCAAGGGGGGGGGGGGGGGGGGGAGATGAGGGAAGGAGGTGACCATAGGCAAGGTTTGAAGAGGTAGGTTTTGAGTGGACTGAGACTGAAGGAGTTGAGGGAGGGAGTTCCAGAGATTTAGGGACTTAGAATTGGAAAGCTCAGCTATCTGCTGGGGAAGGTGCAAGGGTGGGAAGGGATTTATAGGTGAGGGAGAGGACCTTGAAAATCAATCAACTGAGAGACAGGGAGTGTGGAGCACAGTGAGTACTGGGGTGATGGGATGGGCAGATGAGGAAGCAGGTAACGGAGTTTTGGATGAGTTACATTTTATGGATGGTACAGCCAGGGCGACCAATGGGGAGTGCATTAGAAAAATAGATAGAAAGCAATGAAGGTGTTAAGGACATAGAATGACATACCATGGGAGTTTTTCTCCCCCCCCCCCCAATGTCGCACGTAAATTTATGTGTATCTGTGATACAAGCTGGTTGCGAATGGCAATTCAGCACATGGGTGGGACAATCTCCTATTCTGGGGCACTGTAAGCACATTCATATACAATGCCATTGAACTGGATGTGGTCTATTTTTTTCCAGAAATGGACAAACACATCAACAATGTAGCAAGCAGCACAAATATAACAAATATAACGATCAAAAGAATGACATTGGGCTGCCTGGGCATACACGCACAAGATTCTTCATCACATAGTATCATATTATGTTTCTGACTAAATAATATTCTTAGCAGCGGAAGCAGCAGCGGCAACAACTTATACTTATAGTGTCTTTCATAATAATAATCCTTGCATTTGATATAGCGCTTTTCACGTCAGGAGGACGTCCCAAAGCGCTTCACAGAATATACTGTAAAGTGAATTGACTGTATATTTGTGGGCGAACGCGGCAGCCAATTGAGCACCGCAGTGTCCCACAAACAGTCGTGGATTGAAAATGGCCAATTTATTATTGTTTTTGTTTTTTTGGAGGGATTATTATTAGGCTCTGTGTGGAGTAAGGAAACTTACTCCACACTTTTCGTCCTGCCTGGAATTGAACCCAGGTGTCTCGCTTGCAAAGGCGAGTGCTCTAACCGCTGAGCTACAGGACTCCACATTCATGAGGTGTAACAGGACGTTCCAGGCAACACAAGTCACCTGCATTTAAAACCAATTTAATCCAACTACAAATCCTCTTTGGCAAAGAGGATTTTTATCAAAGTATTTGATAAATGTCTAACTTTTGCACCAAACGATAGATTTATTTACACACGTACTCAAGATTAACATCTTTGAGGTTGTTCCAAGATATGACTGTAGCTGGACATCAACCACTCCCATGTTTTTTCCTGGCTAAGTTCAGGAATGAAAGATACAATCAAGTTTGCATTGCACATTAAATAAATGTCTAGTTCCAGAGAATAGGGGCAGAAAGGCTGAAAACCCATCCGCCAATGGTGGGGCTGGTATGGCAGCGAACACGAAGCCGGTCTGTGCTTGCTAAGCTTAGCAGACAGTATCATGCAGTTTATATTTGTATACTGCTTTTCCTGTCGGGAGGATGTCTCAAAGCACTTTACACAGAGCCAGAGGTTATGCTGTTTGCTGAAGTGCTCAATTATTGCACTGTTTTCCCACAGGTAGTTGGTTGGATCCTCGTTTCCAAATCACATCAAACCTGACCAAACAGCCCTCTGTCCATGTAATCACTGTGGTTCTAATCCGGAGAGTCCGGTGTTACTCAGATTCGGCACTGCTCCCATTACAGTCAGAGAAATACATGAATGTCACCTCCATAACCCGGATCAGAGGCACCTGAGGCAGTGAAGGGGTGACAGGGCAACTGGGGGGGGGGGCTGATTGGATGAGAGAAATCACATGGGGGGATGGGTCTGAAGGGAGGGGCGGGGCTAGAGGGGCAGGGGCGGGGTTAGAGAGGGAGAGCGGGACTAGAGGGGCGGGGCTAGAGAGGGAGGGCGGGGCTAGAGAGGGAGGGGCAGGGCTAGAGAGGGAGGGGTTGGGCTAGAGGGGCAGGGGCGGGGCTAGAGGGGCGGGGCTAGAGGGGCGGGGCTAGAGGGGCAGGGGCGGGGCTAGAGAGGGAAGGCGTGACTAGAGAGGGAGGGGCGGGGCTAGAGGGGCAGGGGCGGGGCTAGAGGGGCAGGGGCGGGGCTAGAGGGGCAGGGGCGGGGCTAGAGGGGCAGGGGCGGGGCTAGAGGGGCAGGAGAGGGAGGGCAGGGCTAGAGGGGCAGGGGCGGGGCTAGAGGGGCAGGGGCGGGGCTAGAGAGGGAGGGCAGGGCTAGAGGGGCAGGGGCGGGCTAGAGGGGCAGGGGCGGGGCTAGAGGGGCAGGGGCGGGGCTAGAGGGGCAGGGCGGGGCTAGAGGGGCAGGGGCGGGGCTAGAGAGGAGGGCAGGGCTAGAGGGGCAGGGGCGGGGCTAGAGGGGCAGGGGCGGGGCTAGAGGGGCAGGGGCGGGGCTAGAGGGGCAGGGGCGGGGCTAGAGGGGCAGGGGCGGGGCTAGAGGGGCAGGGGCGGGGCTAGAGGGGAGGGCGGGCTAGAGAGGGAGGGCAGGGCTAGAGAGGGAGGGCAGGGCTAGAGGGGCAGGGGCGGGGCTAGAGGGGCAGGGGCGGGGCTAGAGGGGCAGGGGCGGGGCTAGAGGGGCAGGGGCGGGGCTAGAGGGGCAGGGGCGGGGCTAGAGGGGCAGGGGCGGGGCTAGAGGGGTAGGGGCGGGGCTAGAGGGGCAGGGGCGGGGCTAGAGGGGCAGGGGCGGGGCTAGAGGGGCAGGGGCGGGGCTAGAGGGGCAGGGGCGGGGCTAGAGGGGCAGGGGCGGGGCTAGAGGGGCAGGGGCGGGGCTAGAGGGGCAGGGGCGGGGCTAGAGGGGCAGGGGCGGGGCTAGAGGGGCAGGGGCGGGACTAGAGAGGGAGGGCAGGGCTAGAGGGGCAGGGGCGGGGCTAGAGGGGCAGGGGCGGGGCTAGAGGGGCAGGGGCGGGGCTAGAGAGAGAGGGCAGGGCTAGAGGGGCAGGGGCGGGGCTAGAGGGGCAGGGGCGGGGCTAGAGGGGCAGGGGCGGGGCTAGAGGGGCAGGGGCGGGGCTAGAGAGGGAGGGCGGGGCTAGAGGGGCAGGGGCGGGGCTAGAGGGGCAGGGGCGGGGCTAGAGGGGCAGGGGCGGGGCTAGAGGGGCAGGGGCGGGGCTAGAGGGGCAGGGGCGGGGCTAGAGGGGGCAGGGGCGGGGCTAGAGGGGCAGGGGCGGGGCTAGAGAGGGAGGGCGGGGCTAGAGGGGCAGGGGCGGGGCTAGAGGGGCAGGGGCGGGGCTAGAGAGGGAGCGTGTTTGAGCCTCAGCGGCGATTTGGCGACAACATTAACGCCTGTAACTGGGAAACTCTGGGCCTCAGGGCCTGACACGAGGATTACAGGCGAGTCAGGTCGCTCTGTTTGTTACTGGGTCCCAGGTTGAGGCTCAGTCATTATTATAGTTTAGATCATGTTATCAGTGTTTGTTGCGACGTTTGTTCCGAAAGCGGAAATAAAGTTATATTTAATTGTATAAAGTGAATGAGCATAAACAATTTTATATTTAACTGAATAAGTTTAATAAACACAAAAGATTTTATAGACAGATAAGTGTGGAGAGTAGATTGGGAGGTGTCTGTGACAAAGTGGCGGTGTACTTCTCCCCCTGAGCTCCGACACCCTGACTGCAGAGCCTCGGGACGCTGTGTACACGGTGTAAAGCTGCTGCTGCTCAGTCGTGACATCTGGAGGCCAACGTGGGGCCTGGTCGGTGATCTCACGACTTATATAGAGCGGGAAAAAGAAGCGCGAATCCCCCTGTATCCGCTGTGGGCCCCAGGGTTTAGCGGACAGGCAGTGGACGGGCAGTGAGAGGAGAATCTGGGCCCAGGGTTCACCCCACCCACACAGTTAAAGAATGAATTGTAAGCCGAGGTCTGTCTGTGGTGGTTGCAGCTCTCGCCTCGCAAGCGAGAGGACCCGGGGTCGGTTCCTGGGCGGGGCGAAACGGAAAAAGACCCCCGGTCTGAGATCGGGGGAAAAAGGTATGGGAGGGAATACCTCACAGCACGACTAGAAACCATTCATTTCTCTTCTGGGGGTGGAGCTGCAGAGAATCCTGGTACCTACAGTGTAAGCACATGCATATTTTTATAGCACCTCATCATGTCGAAAATCTCAAAACACTTCACTGGGGCACTGTACAGGTAATTACTATCAAGTGGAAAGGACTGTGTTTAGAAGCCATTTTAGCACACAGAAAAGTCGAATAATTGCCACGGGTGAATGATCAATTTAGCCAGAGGTCTGTTGGCAAGGAGGGGAGAGTGATGGACACACGCCTCTGTTTACCTAGCAATAAGTAGGAACCTACTTGTTAAGTCGATTGGCAGATCGCTTTCCAGGGGTAATAATACCTCCAAAAAAAAATAATGTCAATTTGGTCACTCAGTCCACAACTGTATGTGGGACACCACTGTACAATTGGCTGCCACGTTTCACCCACAAAACATGTAGTCACTACACTTTACAGTGTAACCTGTGAAGCACTTTGACACGCCTTGAAGATGCCATAAGGCGCTATATCAAATGCA